CTTTAAAAAACTAGCCTAGAAACATGCATTACTTGAAAAAGTGTACCGAGGTCATCATAAGTCAATGACCTGACCTGACCTGACCTTCAGGTGACATTGACATCACCCTTATGCATGGGAGCAACATCAAATCACATGTTTGAACAATTGAAACCACGAAACTCGAAAGGACTGCAAACGCGCGGCTAATGCGAGCCGGCATACGCCGAACCGCGATTCTGGCCAAACATGGTCTCGGAAAGTAGGTCAAAGGTCATTTGGGTCAGGGTCATGAAATATCTAGGGTAGGTAGGTAAATCTTGTCCGACAGAAGCAGGCAACAGTTCCGATTGCATATATGCTATGCATATTGCGGAAGGGGCACTTTTCGGCCTCGAAAGATACAAATTCATACGTCATAGTAACATATTTCTGTTGTGGTCAATTTGCGTAAAAATTGAACACCGGGTGATTACCGAGCTATTGCTCTATCCAAATTTTCTGATTCATACTCGCTCAGGGTTATCGTGCAGGTAAAGGGGGCCCGCTCAGCAGATTGTGTATGAAATATGGAGAGATTCTGAAAAATGAGTGGGGGGGCCCGCACACTAGGGGGCCCGCTTTGGAGGCGATGACCCCCCCGAAACGAAATCCTGGCTGCGCCACTGGCTGTGGACTGTACATATGTCGTGAAGTTGCCACTGGCGGAAAGAGGGGGGAGCATTTGGGGTCAAATGCCCCCTCGCAGCTGCCGAAATTGATGAAGATGGGGGAGGGAGTATTTGAACACCCCCTCTAACTTGGCTCCTGGGCCATGCCTATTGACACGTGGTAAGCGAGATTCGGTAGAGCGTTCAAAATCATTGTGGAGATATTCCGGTCATTTCTTAGGTCAGACCATAGCTTAGGCCACCAGGCACCAGAGGTCATCAAACAAGCTTTTTTGCCTAGTTCAACATTTTTTTTTTTTCAAAACCAGCGCATAGCTCGGAAACCAATAGAGCTACAGCGCCGCAAGAAAGCGTATTCGATAGCCCTCGTAACTTACTTTCTGAAGTAAGTATGCTGCTAGATTTGGCCTAGGATCAACAGTACCTAATACCTATAGGCAAAAATTAAAAAATTGCCGTTTTTACGATATTTCTTTGTAATAATTTTTGGACACGGCATTCATTTTGCCAACATCGTATTCACGGATCTAATGAGCTATACTTTGACATAAACAGGTCATTTTGAGAAAAATGACCTAAGGTCAAGATCATGAACTGACCGGGAAAGGTCATGTTGCATATCAGTCGATCCGTATCGTATCGTCAACCTAAATAGATCTAAGGTGTTTCCATCGCTCTAGCATGTCTCTATTATAAGTTATTGCAAAAAAAGAACTGTTTGGGACCTTTCATGACCTGCGATGACCTCAGGGACACAAGGAGGGGGTCACGGGTGCAATTTTCCGATTCAGTTTGTCAAGTTTAACTGTATCCCGATGTTTACGTGAGAAGAAAGACGCCTTTCAAATTTCTCTTACTGATATGGAGAGGGCTTAAAGTTGACCTGACCTTCAGTCACCGATATCAAAATTCCGAGATACACGTTGGATGCATACTGTTACTGGTATCAATCGCTGAGAGTTTCCAGGCGATCGTTCAGTCGGTGTAGCTCAGAGGATTCTAACTGTTCCTGAGGTGAGGTCACTTGACGTAATGGCGACTTGACCTTGAGAGCCCTGGATCTGAAAATTTCACGTCATGTGCAGAAAAGATGCATAAACAGGTGTGCTAAACACGGCGGCGCTTTCTCCATAGTTAAAGGGACTATCCCACCTTCTAAAATGTTGTTAAAACCAGTTAAATTATGCCCGACTTTATAGATTGGATGACCAGGAACACGGTTCTGGCATTTATTTTTCATTAAACATCTTAGGCTTCCCATATTCCAAACACAAACTTTCAAATATGTGACGTCACAGCCCAAAATTACCTCCTTCCCCAGGCCACATTACTGTCATAAAGCTGATTCTTTTTACTCTGTAGGCACCACAACAAAGTTCAGACCAAGTTTTAACCCGCGCCCGGCTGGGGGTCCTGGATTTCCACGCCCTGCTGGGGGGGGGGTGTTTGAACACCCCCCTTCTAACTCGGCTCCTAGGCCACGTAGCGATACGCGGAAGGCGGCGTTCGAAAGAGCGTCAAAAATAATGAGGAAATCACTTCGGTCAATTTTTTGGTCAGGTCAAAGGTCAGGTCACCAGAGGTCATTGAAGGCAAAATTTCGCCGATTTCCAGGTCGAATATCGACAATTTCCAAGAAGCCAACGCATAACTCGGCAACCAATAGAGCTACAGCGCCGAGGAAAAGCGCATTCGATAGCCCTATTACAGACCTTTCTGAGTAATTCTCTCAGATTTGACCTAACGTCAACGGTTTTGCCTGCAGGGGGAAAAAACTGCAAAAATAGACGATTTTTTCGGAAACAGTTTTTCTGCAATAACTTTTGACCCAAGCCTTGTACGAGCTTACTTTTACCGGCATCGTGTTCCTCTCGTCAAGACGCATCGAATGAACTATAATTTGACCTTGAAAGGTCAACTTGAAAATTTGACCTCAGGTCAAGGTCATGACCTGACCGGAAAGGGTCATGTTGCATATCAGTCGATCCGTATCATCGAGCTGAACACATCTAAGGCGTTTTCATCGCTCTAGCATGCCTCTATCAAAAGTTATTTGCGAAAAACTGTTAGATGCCATTCGTGACCTAAGATGACCTCAGGGCATAAATAGGGGTCACGGACACCATTTTCATGTTCAGTGTGTCTAAACCACTTGTAATTCAGTGTTTGGGAGTGTTTATAATGTCTTTCGTCCAAAAGAAGCGCATTTCAATTTTCTCCCGTTGACTTATAATGGGGAGGTCGCAAAATTGACCTGACCTTAGGTCATCGATATCAAAATTCTGAGATATACATTTTGTACATGCTATTGCTCTTAGCAATCGCTGAAAGTTTCAAAGCGATCGGTCACTCGATGTAGCTATGACAGACATTGAAACTTTTTATGAGGTGAGGTCACTTCAAGTGACCTGGTGACCTGACCTTGAATGACCTTGGTCTGAAATTTTCACAACATGTGTAGAATTGATGTATGATAAGGTGTACCAAAAACGGCGGCGCTCCGCGCCGCCGTTTTTGAGATATTCGCGAAAAACCACAAGGGGGGGGGGGGGGTGTTCAAGCACCCCCCCCCAGCAGGGCGCGGGTTAAAGGGACCCTCCCACCTTCAAAAAAGTTTATGAATTGGCATGAAAGTGATGTCGCTCGGTTCAGAAAGAGCGAAAACAAGTATCTACCAAATTTCACCGAAAAATATTCACCGGTTTTCAAGATATTAGACTTTTACTTTTGTTTACTTTTTTGGGGTCTCCGCTGTTTCTAGCGACTTTATTTCAGAAGTGCGGCGTTTGCGGCAGATGTTGCGCGCAAATAGCATATACCACCGCGTGCTACAAAACGTTTTAGTCAAACATTTAAAAAATCGTTAGATATCTGCGCTGACGTCACACATTCAGAGGGGTATTCCTAAGCATTAGCCCCTCTGAATCAAAATGCTGCAATTTTGAAATTCAATATTTCCGATTTAAGGCATTTCTCGATGTTGTGAGTGCCGAAACCGGTAATTGTGAGCCAGGGACCCCATTTTGGCTATCTCAACTCAAATCTAATGTTAAGGTGGGAGGGTCCCTTTAAGCGATTTTTCAACGAACAAACCCATTTAAATCAGAATGACTAAACGAGCTGACGTCACACTAACGGTCGTTCCATGTTGAAGATAGGGCCTTGTACAAGGCCCATTTTCAAATGAAGGGAAAAAATTTCTTCAACACCAAGAGGCCGCGGGGGTTGCAACCTAGATAGATAGTGGTTTCTGAACCTCGCCGCAAACTTGGCTATCTCAACTCAAACTCCATGTTAAAGGTGGGATAGTCCCTTTAAAACTAACTCCTCGGATTTCGATTACTTGTGCACTGCTCTGCAGCATACTTTAATCTGATAGAAGCATTTTAGCTTTCTTTCTTTTCTGGATAAAACGTTTTTTTATCGATTTCGGGTGCTATGAGGGGAGCATTTGCCCCAAATGTCCGATGTCACCACTGGGCCCAATCAAAATGCCGTACTATTCTATTTACGGCATTTGGTAACATTGACAGTGATACCAGTGCTGACAAAGGGTTGTCCGATTCAACGAAATGAATCTTTAGACCGTCAACATACGATGGACTGAAATGCGTGAAAACCATCTTCCACTTAATAGCCGTTTTCTGCAGCTTAACTTCAGCCAGTGCTGCCATATCCATTCCACGGCGTTTGTAAGATTGAGCCCTGGATCCGCTAATGCCTCAATGTGTTTGATTCTTTATACAAATGTCACGGCATTTTCGAAGGCCTGGCTCTTCGAGCTTTTATTTAGCATCTGCATATGTATATCGCGCTTCTAAAAAACACAGCTCCTCATGCATGTATGAAATCAATGATTAATGTGTTTCAGCCGCGACATTTGAAGGGCAGCAGAGGTGTAAAGCAATGACCGGTCTAAGTGTAGTGCCGTGCGACTGTCGCAATTAAGTGATGTTTCCAAACATCAGCTCGGCTTCCTGAACACGAAATGAAACCTTGGCAGGCCGCCGCATGTGAGCACAATCGGTCGAAATACACAGCATCATTTAAAACCTACTTAAACACATTTTGGGGGTCTTATTGTTACTGTCCCTTACCATTGAGTCATCGACATCCGATCAAGCAAAGCCAATCGAACCGTGCTCGCATACCGCGCCGCCACCGGCACCCCTCCCCTCAGGGACCCCCTCCCCTCTCCCCCAGGGCGTCCCCGCGGCGCGCGACCCACTCCTCCCGCATCCGGCCCCTCCCCCTCCCCCCACCGCCACGAACCGTATCGCCCGCGCCGTACCTGGCCGCCCCATCCGGCGCGCGACGCTCGCGGCTCGACTTTGTCCCTGTGCGGCGGCTGCCCAAAGCCGTAGCTGGCGCGAGTGGTCGCATGTGACGCCACCTGGCTTCGAGCAGTCGAGAGGAGACTTGTGTGGGCTATAGAGGTGGGTCTCTTGCCGCGGGCGGTGTGCCGATAGATTGGTGGGAGCGGATCACAGGTCAGCCAGGGTCAGAGGTCACCCACCAGCAGCCATGGAGGAGGACAGGTTCCATAGGTGAGTCGCCGGTAGACCGGAAATGGTCGCTTCCGGTGGGACGAGGTAGGGGGTTGAAGTGTGCCACTGCCTTGTATGCCTAACTTACCTAGCGGCTGACATGCGGGGTTACATAGTGGTTTGGGGCATGAACTGTGTATACCTGATTCAATCATTTGTCATTCAATGATTGGTTGACGGGTGTTTGATGGATGTTTTGTTATTGTGGAATTAGCGTTTCTTTGATGACCATTGCCAGATAAAAAAGATCCCGTATTGAGCGCACTGCGCATGCTACTAAGAATTCGTGTTACAAATATGATATGCTCGATTTGTTACACACTTTGGACGGGTGTTAGGTGCGAGCAAAGTCGTCCATCGGGTCTGGTCATTGGGAGCGGGATTTATTGAAGAACGTGAGGAACAAGAGCAGGCAGGAGTCGTGGGGCGTATGAATCATGAGTCGCGGGTGGAGTCTATTCATGAAGGCTGGTACAGAACAAAAGGTCTAAAAGTGAGGGTATGCGCAAAATCCATTCCGTTTTGATTATATGGCAAATTCGAGGGCTAGAAGATTGACAAGTGATTGACGATAGCAAATGTGAGATAGACCGTGACAACGTTATAAAAAATGTCAGGTTTCAAGGGACGGAATAGTTCGAGCTCAGCGAGTAAAAGCGATTTTGAAGTTGGGCTTGTTGAGTTTTCTTTTCTAGCGTCTACCAAATAAAAAGTCGCAATTTGTGGCCAACTGTCACGCTGCTTCAGAAGTCACAAGTTAAACCATAATCTGCCACACATCGTACTCTATTCATACTTCCCGTTCTCTTTGGCCAATCTCTATCGTTATGAAGGACTTTTTATCATGGTTTTATGCGAGGCTAATGCTATCTCAACCCCCACAATGCGCATGACTAACCAGCTACCACGTCTCCTTTGCTCGAGTTCACCCCCGAATGGGTTTGTTTGCCTGAATGGTTCCAAATCCAACCCAGCTTCAATCTGAACTGTCGCAGCCGTGTCCTTCAATGTTCCCCTTCACAGAGGCGCATATTGTTAGGAACTGTTCAGGCGGTAACTGTCGCGCACGGTTCATGCCCCGGCACCGGTCGGGGAGGCTGAACGGGTTTTAGACCATTGAGCTATTGTTGATTCCGGAAACATTCTTCTTTCGTGAAGCAAATTGTGAAGAAGCAGAGATACACATTTACGCTTGTTTTATGCTTTATGCCTGTTCGTGACACAAATTCTGATAAACAATCTGTTGCATTGGTTTAGCATGTTGCTATGCGTAAATAATTTGGCAAGACGTTAGGCATTTAGCAAAAAGTCAAGCATTATTTAGGTATCAAAAATTTGTCAGGAGGTAAACCACGGCCATTTTTCGATAGTCGAACTACTTTTGGCAAAGTATGGCGATTGGGACATAACCCATTTTGGGAGCAACCAGCTGGTCTAGTCCCTGTATTTTGGCGCAATGGGGTTGGGAACTCGATTTTTTAAGAATGCATGAAAATGATCAAACTATTTTCACAGAATTTATGGTGCATACCATTGCCTCATGAAATCAATATCCTGAGAGAAATGGGGGAAAAAAGATAGGAAACTTGTTTTGAAAAGTTCTTGAAAAAAGATGCTCTTGATGCTGTTACGTCACATGTCACCTTCTGCGGTTGACAAATAATGGCGCATCTGGCGCACCACAGATTACATGTTATATCAATGGGTGAAAGATGTTGTTTGTTTCACTCTGCCATTCGCGCTGTTTTTAACTTTAAATTATGCTAAAACATTTACGGATGAAATGTTCAGTGTCAAAAATTGATGTGTCTGCCGTGTACTATATTCCCACTTAAAGGAAATAGTTCACTTTTTAACATGGGTTTTGAACTGGAATAGCAGTTCCGTAGCCTGGGCTGAGACGAGCATAAATCAGGAGTTTTTACAGCCCAACGATCACCCTAGGCAAAGATATTCTATTTCTCGTCCCGAAAAAGGTGTCTTGCGTTGAGGATGTGTGCCTTGCATATATTCGCATCCAGTATGAAAAGAGCATGGGTACCGAAAATTCTTCAGAAACTAGAGAAATTATCTACGAGAACTTTAGAGAAATTCTCGTACTGATCAATAAGGACATTCAGCAGCAGCAGATCACCCAAATGCCGGTGGCCGCGATAATTTCTCTAGTTTCTGAAGAATTTTCGGGACCCATGCTCTTTTCATACTGGATCGCCTGTGCCTTACAGAAACTGAAAAGTCCTTCCTATATCAAAATATAGAAAATAATGTTTTGTTATAAATAGGTTTTATTTTCTTTGCTGATCATTTTGAACATAAAAAATCATAAATCCATTGCAAAAAAATAATTTCGTGAAAGTGAACTATTTCCTTTAACATTGAGCGCGTGATAAACATTTTATGTACCTCGAATTTTCAAATGATAAAGATGATGAATCGGAGGATGCTGAAAAGCAAAAGCTCATTCCAATATTTGGACTACTTTACGATTAAATAAAATGTTTACATTCCTGTCATCTTATTGGTCATTTATTTGTTCTTTTTAATGAAAATAACTTAAGGCGTTGAGAACCGAGGTAATGTCTATCTACCGTGCCTTAACTTACCAGCAACAGCAATCTATCTACGCCCTACGGTGGCAAGGGAGACTGTGAAAGAAGCGTAAGATGGATTCTAAACAATTCTTTTGTGATATACTGAAGGGCAAAGTACAGAGAAGAGCGTACAAGTCCTGTTTTGTTGCCACCCACCTATGGGTGGGTGGGACTAAACTTGTTATGCTCGGAAATTTAGTATGCTGTCTGATGGTGCCTTGAAACCATCCATCCGAAGCAACCAAACCACTTCTTGGCACATTTAATTGCATTTAGACGAGTCAACACATAAAAACCCGATCAACCATTGGACATTTCGAGCGATGTTTTGTTACCTGTATTTAGTATTAGCTGCTTAATAAAAGCATATCCCGCTGCTAGAGACATTCTTCATGAGGCTCTCTATCTCAAATCCTGAAACTTCCTAGCCGAAAAAAAGCGTTGGACGGTATTCTTTACGAAAACCATCCATGAAATAATTTCATACATTTTTACCATTTTACCAGATAGCTACGTTTTCTCTCATAACCATTTACGTTGACTGCATTTCCCACGAAGGGTTGCTTTTCTCCCATTTTTGAGCAACATAGGTAGGTATAATAAACAGGACCTACCCGGCATTTAATTCGGCTATTATCCTTCAAGGTTCATACCACATCTAAAGCCATGCACAGTTATCTCAAAATTATAACCGAAACGTATGGGTGACATAAAAAGGTTCAGGTATCCACGTGTCCTGCAAAACAATGCACCATTCAGCCATTGCCAGCATCGCCTCGTGTGTTCTCTGACCGGTCAGATGGCGGCTGGCGCTGCCATATCGCCCAATAGAGCTGCCATATCGCCACATCCCGCTGCCATATCAGCTCGTCAAGGACGGTAGACCGGCAAAGATAGTCCCAATCGAACTACCCCGCCCCCCAAGTGACTATCTTATCTCGACCTGAGCGCTTGGTGGGGGTCGATTACTACCCCCGTCCCCATCCCATTCTCCCGCCAGGGGTTGACAATATGCCACTCATCGGTTCTTCACACTGCTCGTATTGGAGTGGGTCGAGGCTATCTTACACCTATTGAAGCCATGGTTTTGAGGCTTGTGATGGAAGGGTATAGGGTGTTAGACTTGGTAGGCTGGTAGATCAGGGAGACAAGCATGCACTAATAAATGCACATTTGATATACAGGCGTCCCAATAGGCTGTGAAAAAGCAAAATAATAATAAAAATAAAAATAAAAAACAAAGAGAGCCGTAAGTGCGAGACTCAGCTTCGTAAACGTATGCCGTTGGGCGTCAATTATTGAAATGTGACGTGTATTTACATGCTGTAATATGCCTTGTATTGGGCCAGTTAACCCGACTTTCTCTATCAAATCACTCCTCCAGCTTCTTTGAATGGACGCCTTGCCTACCGGCTCAGCTAAAAAACAAAACGATCAAATTCACAGCAGCAGTCACGCTATGTGGATAAAGTCTAACTAACTCTACGAACCATGAGACATGTCTGAGGTGCCTACTGCCTAGCTTACCTAAAAAGAATCTAATCGAACCATGGAATGTTTACTTTGGCCCTTCACTGGAGGGTTTAATCTCGTTGAGACACCTCAGCTCTCAATTTTGCACCGCTGTTGTTTGATTGCCGAGACACTTCAAATCCGAATTGCATGGCCAGCGGTCATCTTGCGTGGCTACGTCGCGAAGGCAACTATGGGCCCATGGATAACGTTTCAGCTCACAATTGCATTGGTGAAAAAGCGATAGGTACTTGGCTACAAACACATGTAAACCTTGCATGTAAAACCACATGCAAAACGCGCTCTAGGTCGCGGCATCATAAAGTGAACTTTGTTTATAAATTCTGTAAACGGTCAAAGCAATACCCATTACTCAGTGTATTCAAGGCAGCCCCGAATGTTTTCTACTGACAAGTCACCCCAATGACCGCAAATATAGCACTCGTGGGGAAATATTTTGCCAATCTGCCTGGTGGGGGAATATTTGGCCAACCTGCCAAATATCATTTGTCTGCCAACAAGCAATGGTTTTCATGCTTGCGTTCAAGACCGCTAACTTGACCTAAGACGTTGATCAAGCAAACAGCAAATGCCTCGTGCTTCCCTGCTCCCTCTCATCTCTCCTTTGTTGCTATGTAGGTCATAGTGCGTACCGAGTCTTGCTCCGCCACATTTGACCTTGCCCTCGAGCCACGGAGGTGGCTCGGGGCTCTGTTTCGTCATCTTGCAATTTTCCAACTGTCTCAAAATGCGTGTGTCACCTCAGGATGACGCAATAGTGACGCAACTACGTCACAAAACAAACAACAGTCTGCAAACAACCTCTGCGCAAGCGCCGCCGGAAACGGAGGAAGAAGAGTTCGTTTAAAAACTTGTTACCTTTTGCTGTGGATAAAAAACCGACATTTTTTAAGAGCTGTGCAATTTGCAGCGTCTGAAGTGTAACTTCATGCTATTTTCTGATGCTTCGTTCTCCAATTTATGCATGCATTTCATTTCTTTTTTATACATTTGCCTCAAGAAATTGCTTTCTTAGTAATCTACGAAGCGCACAGCAGTGACATAATCAGCTTGTTTTGAGCATGATTATATCCAGCCGCTGTGCACGATGTTGCTATATAAATGAACTTGACCTTCTTTTTCGTGACATTTTCTGCCCCCTTGACCGGCAGGGCGGCTCGTGACGGCTACCTGGACCTCCTTCATGAAGCCAGCAAGCGCGACTGTAACTCACAGGACGAAGATGGCATGACTCCGACTCTATGGGCCGCCCACGAGGGACACCTGGATGCCCTGAGGCTCATCGTCGGACGCGGGTAAGTAGGTGTGGTTTGGAAGTGGATGTGACGTCACTTGTTACTACGATGACGTCATTTTAGGTAGGGTTGCCCAAGGTTCTAACAGATAAGGTAGCTCACAATATTAACCAAAATGATCGGCTTCAAAAGAACTTAGTTCGGTGTTTCCTTCAACCGATGCGTAGTGGCGAAGTTAGTCTGCCAGTCAGACCTGCCTGGTGCATGGTGTCCACAGTTCAATGTGGCTATGAGTCCATGCGCCAGTTAATTCCCTTCTGTGATCCGTTCCAATGATCCTCTCCGTGATCCGCTCCGTGATCCGTGATCCATCCCGTGATCCATTCCGCGATCCATTCAGTGATCCGTGATCCGACCGCAGATAATATAGTGCCGCGAGGGCAGGCAGGGGGTTCACGGCTGAGCTGACTACTTTCCCCTTTGTGTGAGTGAGGTGAGTGGTAAGCGCGCTGGGGCAAAGCTTATAACGAAAATCTGCTAAGGACGGCACGGGTGACGCACTTAGCAGGAACCGAAACGGTGTGGACTGAAAATACTCTGGTCAGGAGTTAGCCATCACGCACTATTTCAAAAGTGTTGCTTTCGGCGCGTTTATATTAACGGTTTTAAGTATAAGATCATCAGCTGCGACCCTAGTCCAGTCCGACCTCCCATCTCTTCCTTCTAATAATCTTCTCTCTTTTTCTGCCTCTGTCTCTGTCTCGGTCTCTGGTCTCTGGTCTCTGGTCTGTCTCTGCCCCTGTCTCTGTCTCTGTCTGTCTGTCTCCGTCTCCGTCTCCGTCTCCGTGTCTGTCTGTCTGTCTGTCTCTCTCCCTCTCTCTTTCCCTCTCTTACCCTCACCTCTCTCTCCCCACTTTCTACCCTCTCGACAATTATGAACAGTGACAATGAGCATGGCGTTCTCACCGCGCTGGTACTGGAGAGGGAGAGAGGCGAGGGGAGGGGAGAGGAGGGGAGAGGATGGGAGGTGCGTGGGAGCGGACCGGGGAGAGGACTTCCGGTCCAGTGCAGTTAGGCGGCCTCCGTCCTCCCCTCCCCTCTCCCAGCCAGAACCTCGCGAGTCGTCCCGCAAGCACAACTGAGCTTGAAACTAAAACTCAGGCAGGCCTGGTAAAACACACGCAACTGATATTGCTGAAAATTGAAATTGGGGTTACGACTTGCGGTGGATCGAAGTTGTTACGGGAGATCTTTGAACTTCGAATGATGCTCCTCAATCAAGGGGGAGGGGTCTGGATTATTATAATGAGCTCGACCTAGGAATGGCATTCGCCAAAAATCTTGAAATCACTTCACTACTTTGCATGGAGCTAAAACCCAAGGTACGCGTGCCAGATCATACCGACGTGCACACAGTACCGCACTAGGCACAGCCAGACCCTAACGGTACTTCATGTCGCGCGGCGGCGCTGGGTCACGTGTCATGCGTAGTGCACATGGTGTGCACAACACGTGACCACGAGGCAGAGCGATACTGCTGACGTCACACATCATATGACGTCATGGAAGGACAGGTCACGGTACATCGTGTGATGTCATGGGCTAATATGTAATTTCCAAAGCGTTAAGCGAAATGTCAAATGGATATGGCTTCCTATGGACCTAAACGCAGAATGACATGATTTCGTACAAAGTTATTGAAATAAATCGGTTATACATATGTTACACTATATGTATGTAATACGTGTAATACTATGGTAATACGTAAGACGTCACAGAACGTCATTAGACGTCACAACGTTATGAACTGTCGCGAACCATTGTGTGACATTACTTATATCCACAATCGTCCTAGACAACATTCCGATTCCTTGTGAAGTAACTAAACGCTCACTGACCCGAGCCTTTTGGTAAGAGTACATTTAATTATCTGACGTTTTGCCTTCTCGCTCCCTCGTGAATACGCCTGTATTTTACACTCACATAATGAGCTGTGTTCCAATGTGAACACTTCATTAGGACACTAACAAAAACTCGGAGCGCTTCTGTAGTTCCCACTCCTCGTTCCCCACAGGAAGCTAAGTAAGAGAAAGCCGTCAAACGGTGACTACTTGTATCGTTTTTGCAGCCCGGGCATCGTCTAACCAATAATTACTTGAGCAGTGTTCTCAGGGTACTGCAGGTAGTAATGCTGCTCACTTCCGACGAGAAACTACATAGAAGAATCTTATGCCTCTGCAAAGAGCTACGACCGGTTTGTCTGAGCCAAAACTATGCATCGATTTCGATGCACGACAGTGGACATTTACTCAGTAACTCAGTAACCGAATCGTTGATGTCACTGCCCCCCCCCCCCCTCCCCCAGTACTTCTTTTCCATTTACCTATGTTTACGCATCCCTGATCTGCATCAGACCCTGCTTTGATCTACGGGTACATGCAGTTTTCTATGCTCCGACACATGCACTCCTGCTCTGTCCCACTGTCTCCTTTTTTTCTGTCCTGTTCTAACCAGCGACAAATGCCACTCTCTATCATGTGGCCAGTATAACCCTACAGCGTCGCTAATCCCCCCACATAGCCATCAGCCTGACGCTGTCTGACTCGATAGCACTATCGTACGCCGACTGATAAGGTCTCTTTTGTAAGAGCCAGCGCCGAAAGGGCGCGGTGCACCCAGTGAATGCACGATGCATTGCTTTTGGACTTTGGTGCACGTATATGAGCGGGATCTTCGTACATTAGAATTACACGCTTTGATGTTTTTTGATCTGGTTATTCATTCAGGCTAGTATTGTGATTTAATTGCAATTTTAGGTCGTTTGATCGTTGCCTGCCTCGGCCACTCCACTACTTTTTTCCTCACGAGTCTGTCTCTGTGTCTGTCTGTCTGTCTGTCTGTCTGTCTGTCTGTCTGTCTGTCTGTCTGTCTGTCTGTCTGTCTGTCTGTCTGTCTGTCTGTCTGTCTGTCTGTCTGTCTGTCTGTCTGCCTGTCTGTCTGGCTGTCTGTCCCTCTCTCTCTCTCTCTCTCTCTCTCTCTCTCTCTCTCTCTCTCTCTCTCTCTCTCTCTCTCTCTCTCTCTCTCTCTCTCTCTCTCCTGCCTTTAGGCAGTCTTTAGGTCACCACATGATACCAACGCCACCTGCATCGCGCTTACTCTCATCCTGACTAACCCTCTCTTCATACCCACAGCGGTGATCCGGACAAATGTGACAACTATGGCAACACGGCGCTTCACTGCGCCGCCGCCAAGGGGCACCTCAACTGCGTCAGCTTCTTGGTCAACTTCGGCGCCAACCTGTGGGCGCTCGACAACGACTTCCACACGTGCAAGGACCTGGCGGCAATCCGCGGACGTGACGAAATCCTGCGCTTCCTGGACACGGTCATCGCCAAACAGGAGGCACTCAATAAGAAGGTGGCGTGGATACTTTTTCTGTTAGAAGAAAAGTCTGGGTAGTTGAAGGGGTGCAGCGGGTGAGACGCTTAATATCTATATCAGGCTTCTATTGTTAAAGGTCGTATAAATGAAAGAGATGAAAATCAAGAAACAGAAGCAAAATTAAAATTTTAAATATTCATGGGAACGTGTTGGATAAAGAACTGAGAATTATTGAAGATTTTCTCCGCGTAATTTGCTAGGTACGCATTTATTCAAGCCTCCTTGCTTAGCGAGTGCATAACGACTATCGTTGTACAATGCAAATTTTAATCAAAAACCCTTTTGGTCCTCTTCAGGTTGTTCTTTCGCTGAAGATGAAGGCGGAGAAGGAAGCAGAGAAGAGGGTCAAGGAGTACGACAAATTGCAGAAGAAGATCGACAAAAAGGCCGCCAAGGTAACCTAGTCACGAATAAAATTAATTCAGTAAGCAGTGTACATGGAGCAGGAACATAGCAATCCGATGGGACACGGGCTACCGGCAGTTGAAATCTGAACGGGGAGAGGCGCCGAGATCCGGCAATCCTGCTTGTGCACAACAAGAGAAACAGCTGAAGCAGTTGCTGTACCAGATCTTGGCTCACCTCTTCTTCACTTCACAACAGTAGCGACTTCCCATTCTTGGCCCATCCTCTCCTATCAGAAGGAAAACAATTCCATCTCAAACCCTCCCACTGCACTGTCCACGCTGCACGAGCAGCAGCGAGTATCAATCATTCTCCCACACAAGAGAAATGCTCAAAACAGAATTTGATAAGTTGACTAATGTTCCATCTTTCACAGCGACAGTTCCCAGCAAGAACATCAAAGTGTCAAATTTTCGAAATTGAGAATTTTTTACCATTCGACTCAGCTGAATCGAATGGTATAAAAATCTCAATTTCGAAAATTTGACACTTGTTCTTGCTAGGAACTTCGACAGGCAATACTTTGCTTGGAGAGATAGGTTGTGGTGCATCACACAGGCTGTGTGACACTGGAAGTGACCCAATGCTCACCATAGACAAAATTACTTGAGCGATAAACGGCACGACATAGGGCTCAAGTCAACTGTTTGCCTCTGAGAAGTTGGACATCATTATGTAGTAAGTCAACTGTACCCCATCATTGACTAACCCTTTTCCCAATATGTAAACAGGAGGAGCAGCGCCTACAACGACAGCAGTCTGAGAGTGCCGGCGCGGGAGAGAATGGGGATTCTTCAGCGGCAACGAGCGCCCCTCCGCCAAAAGGGCCTAAAAAGCTAATGGCAACCATCTCCCGAGGCACGGCCGGCCTGCTCGGCAAAAAACTCCAGACACAGAGCATGCAGGTGAGAAGGTGTTCCGGGTTGGGATGTGTGTGTCAGTAAGTCCACGTCGTAAAGATGCTGCTTGATGCATATGGGATAGGCGGAAGAAGTGGTCACAAATAAGCATTTGAACCAATTGAGCTCATTTGATTCACTGTGATTTTGGGCCGCCCAAATGTCTGAGTTCATCTGAATTTCTGAGTTCATCTTCGCCGTTCGATTGACAGAGAGATGCAGATGAAGTGCGAGTCAAATCTATAAAGTTCAATGATACCGTGAGGCCTGAAGCGTCTCGAAAGCCTTCCTTTTTGACGTTTTTCTCTTTCCTTTCGCCAGCCGGTGAGCCAGGCTCCGAATTTCTCATCACACACGACAGCCAACCGGAACAAGAACCTGCCGGGTGGCGTCAACCGTAGGCTGCAACAGCGCAACAACAAGTTCGAGGACCGCAACTCCACGGTACGTTCTGCCTTTTATTCAACCCGTGGTAGTAGTGCTTAGAAAGATACTTTTTGATGGCTTTTCCTTAAAGCAATGCGGCAGGTCGCAGAGGGAATTCCCAGGTCGCCGCCCTTTTTTTTTGTTATTCATCATTTGGTGGTGACCTAAAAATTTAGATTGTCGATACAGCCGTCCTGGCATTAGCAATGTCCTGAACTGAAATGCATATGCATTTTATGTATATGTATACATATGTGCCATATGCATATTGTACACTAGTCATCGACACACGTTTACCGTGCAGACTTTATGTAAGTTACGTTTCTACATAAAAGACTAAATGCTACTGAAATGTGCGGCACAGAAGCCAGATAAGGCACCGATGAACTGATACGTACTCGACCTGTCAACGATAACACTGACTGACATTACCAACAGGTGTCTGGTGTTACCTATGCCAACAAATACGACACGAAAGACGGTGCCGGTTCCGACGAACCCAGTAAGAAGCTGAAGTTGATCGAGCTTTTCCCTTAATGCCTTTCATTTTGTTGCAGTCTTCATCATTTAGTGCAAAAGCTTGGAACATAAAACAGAGTTTGGTAATGCATATTTTTCTCTTCACAATGAAATGTTGCATTTTAATGGACAATTAGTGAAGCCGTGACGGAAATATTTATGCTATATATTAGATACATAATTTCAAGTCATCGTGTTTTTTATGCGTCTAGAAAACTGTTCACATCCCCACTTCATAAGATGTGATGTGCAAAGCTTTTTTTCTGCTGTGATCAGCAGGCAACAGCACCACCTGTCTTTTTAGTTTTTTTTTTACAGTCTATTTACTTGTCTTTTTACAGTATCCCTATTCCCAAACGCAGTATATAACACCCTCTGACCTCGGGCCCGTGACCCCGTGACCTCGTGACCTCAGGTCGGCGTGGGAAGCTCGCGGACGTCGAGTTCGGGCGCAAAACTACCGGTGGCGACCTCTTCGACCGACCGGGCTTCGGCAGCGTCGCCTTCAGGTTCGTCAACGTCCTGACGACGTTGACAAGTGTCTCAGGACTCCTGAAACACTTGCCAACGTCCTGAGTAGCTCGCCAACGTCGTAATACTCTCTCGACAACATCCTGAGCTGTTCGTTAACTTCCTGAGAAATTCCCCAACGCCTTCAGGCACGCGTTCAAGTCTAGAGACACTCTCTAACGTCCTAACATCACATTAGTCAGTCGAGCTTTCAGACGGAAAATACAGTACCTAATGTAGGATCTCAATGTCAGCAAACTTGAACTTGCCATCACAAGTCAGTGTCAGCAGAAAGCATTGGGCACTTCGTTTTTACAGTCACATCATATTGGCAACAGCCTTCTTCGCTTGATGATTTATAAGGTTCGGCGATTACATACCTATCCAACGAATATGTATGACGCATCTAACCATGCAAAAGCCGGAGAATTGCTATGCAGTTTAGCATCCCATTCCCAATCTAGGTAACATATTGTAGGGATCATCTACGCGATTTGTCATCTATGCGATTTGTCATTTCATGTTGTCATTTTCATTTATATTGTCGCCGCTTTATTAATCAATCTGTTACCTGTTGTCAATTGCGCGTCAAGTTTGTTTGTTATTTGTAAACCGGCCTGCCGCTGGCCTCAACCTTCCTAGTAACCGCTGTGCCATACGCTTTAGAACATATCGTGCAAAGGTCACGGCGGCACCCCTGAGGCGGCCGCTGCCCGTACGTTTACGAACCCATTGTCGTGACGTCATGCCTGTGAGCAAAGGTCGCGGTAGGGGCTCTCCCGGCAGCCGGACGGTGACTCATACGTTAAGCTTGTCTCTCGCCGCGCCTGCGGGCATATTGGTAGTACTAGGGACGGCCAGCATGTGACCGCGGTTTTCGGCGACATTGTCAATTCGTTTCTCGACTCTGCTGTTCGCTACAAGACAAATACACAAAGGAAACGGCTCGGGCATTTGGAGAAGAGCGGCTACTCTGAGGCGAGGGAAGAACACGGAGATTCACGCAAACGACCTGACTAGGTTGCACCGGCCACAGTCGACCGAGGTGGGCTTCTGCGCCCTTAAAGACGCCTCTGACTGGCCATTGCGCTGACACCCTGGTCGGACCACGGTCATTGATCGGACCCTGCCACTGGTTCGTGCTCAGGCTGCCTTAGCGGGTAGACCTGCTCGACCAGACGCCCACTGGTGGGCGAGTGCTCGGTTCCGACTTTCACCGCCGGTCCAACAGCGTTCTGCTGGTTCCCGCCGATCCGGTTACGACACCGCAAGTGCCGTACCGACTCGGGCGTCCCAGGTGGGCGTAACGGTTACCACACCAGTTCGCGACCCCAGGCTCTGTCAGCCGTCGTACGGCTCTCGGACGGACACTCTAATAGATCAGCCACAGATCAATAGATTGTCACAGACCGTCCGTCCAGCCACGCGCTACCCACAGCGCAGTACGACATTGGTGACCCCGACGTGATCTCCGTTGTTCGACCTTAGCCTCTCGTCATGCCGGCGGACAGCGCACAGTCCGGCGCCGCAGCTCAAGACCCAGCCAGCGTTCCAGCTTCAGCCTCCGAGTCAACTCATCGGCCCATGGCTAGCTTCCGGCTACCACCATACTCTCCGGAAGAGCCCGACCTGTGGCTACTGCAGGTGCAGTGTGCTTTCGACGTCAGCGGGGTCGACTCCGACGAGCTGAGGTTTAAGCTCCTCGTCGCAAACCTCCCCGCCAACATCGCCGTCCAGGTCAAGGACGTCATTCGGTCATCTCGGTCTTTTGACGTGCTGTGTGCGGCGCTCCAAGCCCGCCTGGCACAGTCACGCGCCGACCGACTACAAACCCTGCTCGGCCGCCAGCAGCTCGGCGATCAGAAGCCGACGGCGCTGTTGCGCTCAATGCGCAACGAGCTAGCCGCAGCCGGGGACGCCCCGGTTGATACAGAGCTCTTCCGTACCCTTTTTCAACAACGGCTACCGCAGCCCGTCCGTGCTGCCCTCGCCCTCCTGCCAGCCGACAGCACGCTTGACGCACTGGCAGAAGCGGCCGACCGGTATCTGGAAGCTAGCGGACCGGACCCACGGCTATCAGCGATCGCGGCACAGCCGTACACACAGCCGGCACCGCCCATCGCTGCTGCAGTGACAGCCCCGGCGCCAGCTGCAACCCCTGCGCTGGACACCGTCATCGCCTCCCTGGTCGCTAAGATGGAGCGCTTGGAAGCCAGCAACCGACGACTTGAGGACGCCGTGCGACGCGACCGCAGCCGTTCCCGGCCGCGCCAGGCGTCTCGCCAGTCTCGCCGCCCGTCACCGGCTCGTCCTTCAACGCCGCCGCACGACGACACGCTGTGTTGGTACCACCAGCGATTCGGCGCACAAGCGCGCCGATGCAAGTTGCCGTGCTCCTGGATCGCCTCGGAAAACTGAGGCGCCCCGTGCTGATGGCGCAAAGCACGGGCGCCCCTCCTGCCGCGCCACTCCTCTTCGTGAGGGACACGGAGACGGACCGGCAATTTCTAGTCGACACCGGGGCGCAGGTCAGCGTGCTGCCTCGCCGCTGCCTGCCCAACGGGTCCACACTGACCCCTGCTCCTGTCGGCCAGCAGCTCGTCGCGGCAAACGGCTCACCGATCGCGGTGCACGGCACCTGCCTGCTGGACGTCACCTTGAGTCAGCAGCACCGCCTGAAACATCGATTCTTCGTCACTGACGTCACCACACCCATCTTGGGCACCGACTTCCTGGCCGCACATCACCTCGTTGTGGACGTTGCCAACCAGCGTCTCCTGCGGGACGGCACCGTCTGCGCCAGCGCCGAGCGGTCACGGCTGTGCTCCATCGGAGTGCGTCTCGTCCGGGAGCAGGCTGCTGCTCGCTTCGCAGCTGTCCTCGCCCGGTACCCGGATGTGACCTCACCAAAACCTGGACCAACACCGGTGAAGCACAACGTGACGCACCACATCGTCACCAAGGGTCCACCGGTGTACCAGCGGCCACGACGCCTCCCGCCGGAGCGCCTTCAAATCGCACGTGCCGAGTTCAACAAGATGCTCCAGCAAGGCACCATTCGACCGTCCAGCAGCAGCAACAGCGGCAACAGCAGCAGCAGCAGCAGCAGCAACAGCAACAGCAGAGGCAACAGCAGCAATACCGGCAACACCACACTGCGGCTTCCTGGTGAGTTCTTCATCAGCAGCCAAGCCTCAGCAGCATCACCGGCCGGTTTCGTACAAGACCTGAAGCGCGCCATGTCTCAGGTACGGCCGACACTCCCACGTCCGGTCCAGCGCGCCACGTACGTCCCGACGGCACTCCAGACGGCGACACACGTCTTCGTGCGCCGGGACTGTCACCGCTACCCGCTGGACGCTCCATACGACGGACCGTTCCCGGTTACCGAAAGGACCACCAAAACCATCACCATCGACCGTCGACAGAAAAAGGAGGTCATCAGCATCGACCGGTGTAAGGCCGCCTTCCTGGAGACGCCAGACGAATCCGGTCATCGACAGCCTGACCTGCCGACTGTGCAGCCGCACGGTACTCAGTCCAGTGGCCCGCCGGCCGCGCCACCGCTCAGCAATGAGCCCAGCGGCCCGGAGCTTCTGATCTACGGTGACGCACCAAATCGCCCTGCAGCCGTCGCTCAGGCTGACGCTGCACCATTGCAGCCTCAGCCGATACTACGGACGACCCGCTCCGGCCGCGTCATACGACCTCCGGTAAGATATCGCCATGTCACTTTTGTCCGCGACATGTCTGGCGAGGGGGTACTGTAGGGATCATCTACGCGATTTGTCATCTATGCGATTTGTCATTTCATGTTGTCATTTTCATTTATATTGTCGCCGCTTTATTAATCAATCTGTTACCTGTTGTCAATTGCGCGTCAAGTTTGTTTGTTATTTGTAAACCGGCCTGCCGCTGGCCTCAACCTTCCTAGTAACCGCTGTGCCATACGCTTTAGAACATATCGTGCAAAGGTCACGGCGGCACCCCTGAGGCGGCCGCTGCCCGTACGTTTACGAACCCATTGTCGTGACGTCATGCCTGTGAGCAAAGGTCGCGGTAGGGGCTCTCCCGGCAGCCGGACGGTGACTCATACGTTAAGCTTGTCTCTCGCCGCGCCTGCGGGCATATTGGTAGTACTAGGGACGGCCAGCATGTGACCGCGGTTTTCGGCGACATTGTCAATTCGTTTCTCGACTCTGCTGTTCGCTACAAGACAAATACACAAAGGAAACGGCTCGGGCATTTGGAGAAGAGCGGCTACTCTGAGGCGAGGGAAGAACACGGAGATTCACGCAAACGACCTGACTAGGTTGCACCGGCCACAGTCGACCGAGGTGGGCTTCTGCGCCCTTAAAGACGCCTCTGACTGGCCATTGCGCTGACACCCTGGTCGGACCACGGTCATTGATCGGACCCTGCCACTGGTTCGTGCTCAGGCTGCCTTAGCGGGTAGACCTGCTCGACCAGACGCCCACTGGTGGGCGAGTGCTCGGTTCCGACTTTCACCGCCGGTCCAACAGCGTTCTGCTGGTTCCCGCCGATCCGGTTACGACACCGCAAGTGCCGTACCGACTCGGGCGTCCCAGGTGGGCGTAACGGTTACCACACCAGTTCGCGACCCCAGGCTCTGTCAGCCGTCGTACGGCTCTCGGACGGACACTCTAATAGATCAGCCACAGATCAATAGATTGTCACAGACCGTCCGTCCAGCCACGCGCTACCCACAGCGCAGTACGACAATATATCTTATATGTAAGGAATCTCGTCCCTACATAGGTATGTAGGTACATGATTAAGATGACTCCTGGTCCTGGTGATGGTTAATGGTTAATGATGGCAACAGTCGCCGGGATTATCTTGATGACGTTTGTCATCGTGCCTGCATCTGATGACGTCTGTATCCGTAACGCTCTGCCCGTTTCCACGACAGGGGTATGATGCCGAATCTGAACCAGCTAGGTGACGACTCTGCACGGCCAGGGCAGGAGGACAGCATCGGCTCTGCCGGCAGCCTCAACGGCAAGGAAAACCCCTTCGACGAACAGGACTTGCCCAGCGGTGAGTCCATAGATCCTGACTCAGCTCCACAATGGCTCCGTCGGGGCATGCTTTTATGTTGACCTTTGAATAACTGCATCGGATTGAGATGTGCTTTTCTCCTCTTTGGATTTTCGTACGAGCGGATACGTGAAATGGTTTCTAAGTTGTTTTTTTTTTGTAACAATTTGCTGTACCTACATCAATTCATCAACGAATGTATATGACACATCTAACTATAAAAAAGCCGTAGAATTTCTATGCATTACTTTAACGGCCTTGATAAGCATTTTACAGTTTCGCAATAATGCGAGCATAAAAAGGTGCCGTACTTGCCCTAGTTTGTTACCAAATAGCTCGTTCTCGCTTTCTCTCTTCTTTATATGGATATGATGTTATTTGACCAACCTCTCCCACTATTCCCTCAGATGACGAGGCTCAGGAGCCGGACCCCGAGACCTCCGCTCTCCATCTGTTCCTGACGTCCGCCGGAATTCCCGAGTTCATCCCAACCTTCGTGAGGGAGCAGATTGACCTCACCGCGCTGGAGCTACTGACCGAGGAGGACCTCATCGAGCTGGAGGTGCCGCTGGGGCCGAGGAAGAAGCTGCAGAAGGCGCTGAGGGAGAGAAAGCAGTCACTGGAGCAACCGGGAGAGATGGTCGATACGCAACTCTGAGAGAAGAGAGAATAGCGGGAGGAAGCGAGGTGGTATAACGAGAAGAGAAGCGCGAAGAGCGGGCGATGTAACCGCAGTTCATGTGATTAGGGCGTGTGGGCGAGAGTGAAGTAGGTGGCATTAAGAAGTGCGTGGGAAAACCGGTGGGCTTACGTGGATGTTGATTAGGATGTGTATGGGGAAACCGGTGGGGAGGACGAGTGCTAGTGAATAGTTTGGTGATGTTCAGAATGTGTGGTGTGTGAAAGGTGAGGGAGGCGTTGGGATCATTCTATTGGAGATGCGATTAATCATGAAGGGATGGGCATGTGATCTGGGATGCCAGTATAGGAGAATAGGACGTAAGGCATTCTGCTGCTGAAACTGCGATGAGGAACGCATGAAATGTGAGGTAATTGCATTTGATGGGAGTATAGGCAGTCGAGGCACGGATAGCCATTCCAATGTTTCAGCCACTACAATGATTTGTGGACCTTTAACTACTCGTTGAGTAGTGAATGCGTGAACGATTACCCATATTTAGCAGTCTGATTAACTGGAAAAGTCAATGGCTGGGCATTGCACCTATGCATGATCATAACACGCCCTGTGATATGCTTCTGGGGCAGGCAGTTTGATGACTGTTTGATTTATGTTCCTGCTTTGATCATGATCGCAAGGAAATGTATGCATATTGACTGATAAGCCTCCTGTAATGATGCATGCAATGCTGGGCTATGCTGGAGTTACGGACCCAGCGCGGGCCCCTGGCGAATGGATGTGCTTACCGGAAGGCTGCTCCTTGAGTTTTACATGTCCAATTTTACTCTGCTTACATGGAAGACAATCATACCGATATCAAACGTTACGCTGATGTCATGAATCGAACTACATCCTGTAACTCTAAATGGAGTTATTCCGAACACATTCCTGAATTTTCGACGCGTTTTATTTATATGAGATGTATTGCATTGGCAGCTAATCAAATGGATGCCGCTGTACTAATGCACCAATCAGTAACGTAGTTACATGTACCTACTAGAGTCAATGTACTACTGGCGTGTTGAGACTGCGTGCGTGTATGGGACGAGGTGCGTGCATAGTGAACAGTGATGGAACATTTTGCGAGTGAGATAGAAGGATGCGTGGATTATTGTTTAATAGTGATTCGGTAGCGGCCATACATAATCAAACTGCTATCGCCACGCCTCCAGACGTTCGTCTCTCGAGTTGATTGGTAGTGGCAAATACAGTCATGGTGTTATCGGAATCCACAACGTTTATTACATGGCGAAAGCAGCCTGTCTAATTTCAACTGCTGGAGGACTTTGACCATAAAAAGACACCCTAGAGGAAATCAGGAAAGATTACCGAGAAGTCAATGAGGTCATTAAAAAAGAAGTGAAAGACACCTGCAGCTGTTTATAAAACTGACTTCAAAAATTTTCTATTCGTAGTCGCTCAAAAACGTATAGGCATCACGCAAATCAGCACACATCGATCCAAAATTAGGATCACGGCAAAAAAGCTGAAAAATAAATGTCCATGCTTGCTTCAAATACTACCAGGCATTTCACCTACAATCTACATATCCTCGCAAACCGAGAATGCCTAGTTACAAAATCAACAAAGAAAAGACCCACTGTTCCGTTAAGTTCAACGCTAACTCAAGATGGGCCATAAAATAAATGGAACACATGGCAATCCCATGCTAATGCAAGGCCAACTTGCAAGGAAGCTCACACAAGCAAAGAGACAGCAAGTATCTTCTTCGGAGCTTTTCATTTCCTAATGTTGAAGATCCATATAACCTGCCAGGTGAGGTAGTAGATAGATACCTGACAGCGAAACTAGTGAAAACAATTCACAACACTTATGTCCCGATAGGACACGGATTCATCTCGGGCACATGACACCGCGTCCACCATCCACTCCCAGCGTTTGACCCGTGATGAACGAAGCATCATCAGAGGCCAGGAACGCAATCGGCTTGGCCACTTCCATCACTTCTCCTGGACGACCGAGAGCGTGCGTCGACTTGCAGTGCTCCAGGAACTCCTGATATTTCTCGGGAGTCATGCCGGCGCGAGTGTGGATATTTGTGATGATGACTCCGGGGTTGACAGCGTTGACTCGCACCCCACGGTCTGCAAGCTCAAGGGCGGCGCAACGCGTCAGCTGGTCCATGGCAGACTTGGACATGCAGTACGCCAAGATGCCCGGAAAAGATCTCGTCCCCGTGACGCTAGAGACGTTGACGATGTTTCCCTTAGTCTTCACCAGATGCGGGATGGCCAACTGAGAAAGGCAGACCACCGAACGGCAGTTGATGTCCATCTGTTTGTCGTACTGCTCCAGACTGAGAGATTCCAGGGGGCCTCCGACCAGAACTCCGGCGCTGTTCACCAGTATGTCGAGCTGGCCAAAGTGTTTGATGGTGTCGCTGACAAGCTGCTGGCAGTGCTCCTGCTTGCACACATCTCCAGCAACTATGAGGACCTGATCGGCCGCAGCTCCTGCCGCGTGACACTTGTCGGCCACCTCCTTCAGACGATCCTCGTTTCGTCCAGCCAGCACCACCCTCGCGCCCAGTGATGCAAAGTGTTCAGCCGTGGCAGCGCCAATGCCTGAGCTGGCGCCTGTGACGATCGCCACCTTTCCTGAGAGGTTCGGCATCTTGAAGAAAGAGCTCTTGGCGTAAGGAAAGTGAAAGTTAACCCTGCAAAAACAAAGGTCGCATCAACTTATAAAGCCCCTAAGTGATCAGAGTCATGATCCGATTGCAAGCTTCAAGAGCGGCAGCGATTTATCTTTTTGTTGAGTATGATTGAGCCGTTGACAGTTCTATTCACCTCAAACAGTTATCTTCAGGCAAACGGACGGTGGAACTAAGGGGTCAATGTAGAGTACCAATGGGAGGGAGTAAGAATATGCCAGGTTCGCATCAGCGTAAAGATGTTGTTCGTGTGAATCGTGGTCGTTTACTCTGATCCAGCACGGCAGACCAAAGTGTTCATGTAATCGTCCAGTTCACTAATAATTGCGTATCTGATCGAATCGTTTCATTAACCGGAGGACCAAAAGAGTTCTTAGATGAATGTCTATTTCTGGATTACTCGTCACACACTACACCTCAATCGAATCGTACGACGCCGGCGCCGTTGCGCCGGCGGAGCCGCGCCGTCGTCGTCGTATCGCCGCGAACTGCCGAGCCGGCCGGCGGCGGCCGGCCCGGCGCGTTGGGGCCGGTCAGCACACACATGCGCTCCAGATGACCCCCCAGGCCCTGCAGAGGACCACGTGGACGGCGGGCTCGGCCGTGCCCGCCGCGCGCTGCCGTCGCTGTGCGGCACGGTACGTTTTCTCTCGAACATGGCCGGCCCGAATTTTCGCGTCGCTCGCGGAAATTCTAAACGTAAGAGAGAAAACATTAACGAAACAACAAGCAGCTGCTCGCAGGCAGCGTCTCCGTCCGTATCGTACAGCAATAAACGAACGCTAAAGCTAAGGCTGTAAACTACATCGGTTGCGCCGCGCGTCGGTCCCAATCTAAGGCTGCTACACTCTAAGGCCCTAAACTGCTAATCGCACAGACCGACCGGCCGAATGACCCGGGAGGGGCACCATGACAGTGTGAACGCGTAACACTGTCGAACGGCTCACAGCCGTTAGCTAATGGCTAATCACCAAACGAATTACAATTGACACAAGCGACAGCGCACAGAATGAGCGGCTCATTCTCACACACGCACACGTCAACCTAACACGAATGACGGACGCAGTTAACACTTACAAATGTCCAGACTCCGACGCTGCTCGGCAGCGGCTCACGGTGGTCGTAAAAGACTCACTAGTCGCCCCACTCGCGCACACGTCATCCGTCTGAGTCCATTTACTGCCCGTCACCATCGCACTGGAGACGGCAGAGACGAGAGATCAGCCGCCTAGAGCGACTAGTGGCAGTGGCCATTTCGACCACCCGCACTCGGCCGACGGCGCCAGGGAACACGTTCACCACGCGCCCCACAGGCCAGTGCCCGCGAGGCAGATTGTCCTTTGTCACCGGCGCTAATTCGTCGAGCTGCACGTCCGCCGGGTCTGCGCGTCACTTCATCCGTGTGATAAGCGTCCGGAGGTGCGGCTCGGGGCCGGCTCGCCCACTTGGAAGCCTGTAGGTCACTCGTTAGCGGCGGCGCTGGCTGGGCTGACCGTTTCCGGCACGGCGTGGAGGTAGGTGTGTACCGCTCCACAGCGGCCCTGCCACTGATGACCCAGAATTGGTTCCGCAGGTGAGCCAGAACGTGCTCTGCGCCAGAATGGGCGAGCTTCTCGTGTCGGTCGGTGACGATCAACCGAGTGATGTCTCCGCGTGCAGGTAGAATCACCCGGCGCTTGACCTTGAAGTCGAGCTGGGCGTGGCGCAGCTGGCCCCCGACTCTCAGAAGGCCGTTCGAGTCCAGGAATGGGTTAAGCCGGTGCAGCTGGCTGTTCGAGGGAAGCCGCCTTCCGTGCTGGAGAGCTTCGATTTCATCGCCGAACTGCTCGGCCTGTGTGCTGAGCAGCCAGACACGCTCAGCTTCTCTCAGCTCTTCATCAGTCAGCGGTCCCGTCCGCCGATCAGCTGCTGCTCGGCTGCGGCTGTTGTGAGCGAATCGGCGCGCCCACGCTGTCACACGCAGCAGCCTGAGCCATGATGAGAACCGGCTGGGGTTTATGGCCGGCTCCGCTCCCCTGGTGACGCAGGCTGGTGCTCTCATTTCGGCTGTTTCCTCGTCTCTCGGGCGCTCTGTCGGGCGGGGCGGCGCGGCGGGCCGGTCCTGGGGACGGCGCGACAGGATGGCGCGACCTTGGCCCCGCTCTCCGCTCGGTGCCATCTCAGTCACCGAGCAGCCTCGGCTGCCTATGTTCGATGAGTTCAGTGACCCTGGCACGTGTTGCCATCGAGTCACTTCCGAAGCGTCCTGGGTTTCCTCGCTGACACGGATATGATGCACGTCCTTGTTGACTGGCAGGTTTCGATCCGGCGCGCGGCCGGTGACCGTCCAGCCGAGCAGTGTTCTCACGGCGCACGGCGCACCCGGTGGTCCGTCGATCACCGCACGTGCCACGATCAGTTCTATGACGTCAGCGCCCAGAAGTACTTCTACTGGACCTCGAGTCGTACTCGGCAGATCCAGGTCAGCGAGATGAGGCCATTTGCCCTTCTCCCGTGACCAGTCCATGGCGTGATTTGACACACTCAGCGTCGGCGTCGTTTGGGCGTTCCGTATTTCGTGACGTGTGCCACCGCTGCTGACAGGCTCGATCACGAAGGACACACGGCGTGATCTGAGTCGTTCACTTCCGTTTAGGGTACTCAGGACCAAACTGTCAATGGGTCCAGAGATGCCGAGACGGTCGCTCAGGCCTTCGGTCACCAGCGTTACCTGGCTCCCGAGGTCGAGAAGCGCGTGGGTCGTGCAGCGCCCAGCAGGACCATGCACAGTTATCGGCAGTGTCTGCAGCAGCACCTTACAGGGCGGCTCGACCACCGCAGTGCCGACATGTTTCACTGGTGACGGCGCGCTGCCGGCAGCACTGCGCCGTGGAAACACACGGCCTCCGTTGTGCAGAAGTGTGTGGTGACGTTTCCCACAGTTCTCGTGTCCACAGTTTGTACCAGACGGGCACGCGGCGCTGATGTGGCCTCGCACGAGACAATTGAAGCAAAGTCCGTTGCGACCGGCGACCTCCGCCCTCTCGCTCGCTGTCAGCTCCAGAAACCTGTCACAGCGCTCTAAGTCATGTGCCCCCTGACAGACTACACATGCCTCCTCACTTGCGACCGGCGCTGCCTTTATTGCACTAATTTTCGGTTTTACGACCTCTCGGGACGCGGCCGGCGCTAGCGCAGTCGCGTAAACACGCCGCTGCCGGCTCTCCCCACTGTTGACCTCGGCCTTGGATTGCTGGTGGCCCGTCAGGGTCAGGGACGCACGCCCAGCGGCCACGTAGCGGCGCAGCCAGCTGTCCAGGTCGGCCAGAGTGGGGCGAACGAGTCCGCTGTGTACAGCGTGCTCGCCCCACTTCAGCGCCAGCGCAGCGGGAAGCTTCGAGATCACAGCTGTTACATTGGTGGCAGCCGAGATGTCCGCGTCGTAGTGAAGGCACTGTAGCACACGGACTGCGGTGCGAAGGTCACGTGACAGCTCTGTCACAGCCGACATATCACCATCTTTCACCGGCCGCGAATCGAGCAGTTTTTTCATCGTCGCGTGAATGACCCGCGCCGGGTCACCGAACTCCTCCTCTAGCTCACGCAGAGCCTCACCGTACAGAGAAGAGTCGCACAACATACCGCGCACTGATTCCTTGGCCGGCCCGGTGAGATGAGCCTGGAGATATGTCAGGCGCTCGACGTCAGTCAGGTCGTCTCGATCGTGCACTAGAGCCCTGAACAGCGCGATCCATCTCGGCCATTCCAGAGCGGAGCCGCTGAACTTATCCAGGGTCACTCGAGGCAGCTGTGGAGTCGTTTGCTGTCTCACGGGCTGTAGCGGGCGTCGCGGTTCCTGCTGGTGACGGTCGTCGTATGGCCGCGCGCTGACCAGTTGTCCGTACTGGGAGGACTGCTCCACCCAGTCCCGGGTGCGTGAGGACCTGTCACCCGGCAGCAGCGGCTCACGCAGCTGGGCGGCTGGCTCACTTGGAGCTGCGGCAGCAGGCCGAGCTAGAGCCTGACGGTCGACGGCAGATGACTGGTGGTCATACTCCTCCTCCTCGAGCAGCTCCAGCTCCAGCTGACGGCGTTCAGCTTCGTCGGCGAGCTGTTGAGCTTCGAGAGCTGCCCGCTGTCGTGCCAGTTCTGCCTCTGCCGCGGCCGCGCGCTGGCCTTGCTCCGCTGCGAGCTTGCTTAGCGCGGCTCGGCGGCGGGCTGCGCTGATGGTGGACGACGCTGCGCTGCCGAAGGTCTCGCTGCGGGTATGACATGCCTGCGAGCTGCGCGTAGATTTAGCGTCACACCGTGCGACCGCCTTTGCGGTCGATTTCGCGTCGGACTTCGCTTCCGACATCACTGCGTCGGACTTCGCTTCCGACATCACTCGTTCACTGCACTTGCGTCGGACTGTACGTCCATTCACTCACTAGTTCACATACATCCGGCCCGGAGGACCAAAATGTTCGTGTGAATCGTGGTCGTTTACTCTGATCCAGCACGGCAGACCAAAGTGTTCATGTAATCGTCCAGTTCACTAATAATTGCGTATCTGATCGAATCGTTTCATTAACCGGAGGACCAAAAGAGTTCTTAGATGAATGTCTATTTCTGGATTACTCGTCACACACTACACCTCAATCGAATCGTACGACGCCGGCGCCGTTGCGCCGGCGGAGCCGCGCCGTCGTCGTCGTATCGCCGCGAACTGCCGAGCCGGCCGGCGGCGGCCGGCCCGGCGCGTTGGGGCCGGTCAGCACACACATGCGCTCCAGATGACCCCCCAGGCCCTGCAGAGGACCACGTGGACGGCGGGCTCGGCCGTGCCCGCCGCGCGCTGCCGTCGCTGTGCGGCACGGTACGTTTTCTCTCGAACAGATGTTTTTCAAGTTTCAACCTCGCCGATGTTAGGAAACTTCTCGCGCTTCACCCCGATCCGAATAGCCTGGACCCTCGATTATCCGAGACTACTGTGGACGTCAAACCGCGTGGGACGCGACTTTTTCGCAATAACTTTTGAATAAGTTGCCTCTCAAGAACGAAACTTCAGCAATGGACATTTCAGACCCCGGCCTAATTTTTATTATTAAGGTTTTTTAATGTCAAATAAATATTTAGGGTACTTCCCGTTCACTCGTAATGCTAAGTGAAATATCAGCCCGGATGGCGGCTATCGTCAGGCTGCTCGCGAAGCCCCGCCTACTAACTACGAATTCCCTGCCATCTACCGTTCAGACACGACTGCCATCTGTCGGTCGATCCTCACTCAGAACCGGTTCTGCATGCTGTGTGCGTCGGGTCTCAGATGGGCGGACATCTCGAAACCGAGATTGTTCAGTATGGCCTTTTACCAGGTTTTTTAATCCGAGAAAAAAACCGAGATTGTTCAGTATGGCCCTTTACCAAATTAACTATACGAATTATTGTCTTAGCTAGCAGCAGGGATGCAGAGACTTGAACATTTGAGTCAGCTCCAGCTCCGGCTCCGGCTCCGAGTAAAATGGCAATACGGCTCCGGCTCCGGCTCCCACTCAGGGCAAAATATGACGGCTCCGGCGGATCCGGCTCCCCTCCGGCTATGCGCACCGGTGCTGATTGATTGATTGTTGTTTAGGTGCTTCGGTCCATACCGGTGCATTACGGAAACATTTAAGTTGGGGCATATTGGGGCTTGGCAGGATAACACGAAGTGTACTAACGTTCCTGGCGATTTGATATCTACAAGAACCAAAAATTAAAATGTTAATTAAAAAATTAACGGTTAAACGGTTAATCACCTTCACGGTCAAATACCGACAAGAGGCGCATTGCAAATACATTCTTGCAGCCCTTAGGGAAAGCATGAATAACGTACGCCATGTGGCTGGGTGTGTTGGCAGGAAGCACCGCGTACCAACCCCTACGGACCGCGACTGACCGGTCTCGGGTCAGGTAGCGCCTCAGGCAACGGCCAGCCGAGGCGGAGCTTAGCTCCAACGTCACACTATGGCTCCGCCCCTTGTGGAGTAGCCTCTGCTCACCGAGAGAGTTTCAGGAGCAAAATTTAACATTACGAGTGAACGGGAAGTGCCCTAAATATTGATCGGACATTGAAAAACCTTAGTAATAAAAATTAGGCCGGGGTCTGAAACGTCCATTGCCGAAGTTTCGTTCTTGAGAGGCAACGCATTCAAAAGTTATTGCGAAAAAGTCGCGTCCCACGAGGTTTGACGTCCACAGTAGTTGTTCTCCACTGTTGAGGGTGACACATGGCCTATTATAGCGCTACCCCAAACGAAGTAGCACGGAACGCCGGTAGCACTCGAATGCTTGTCAAAGTAACTAGGTACGAAAACAGAGCCGCGATGAATAGTGAAAACTCTATTATGATACCACTAATGCTTTCTGAGTTTCTGACGCAAAAAAGAGCCTGAAAGTTGTGACCTCCTTTAAGTCAATCAAGCGAAGCAGCCCGAGGAATTTCGAGAGGAGAGGGGCGGCTAATTCGCCAATTAAAGTGGTAACCCTTCTTCGGATTTCGTATAAAGCAATAAGCATGAATCACGAAAAGGAAATTTGTCGCCAAGAGCAAAGTCACACATTGTTTCATTGAAGCGGTTAGTATATATTTACCAAGAAAATCCATTTCATATACGTTCAGCCGTTCAGGCATGTTCAGGTCAAGAACAAGCATCGTAAATTCTTGTCACTCTGAATACCTTCGCAGATACAAATGAAGGTATTCTCATGAGAAACCGATTAAACAACATCAGCTTGTACCTGAGAACTATTACCCATGAAATGAAACATCCCCATAAAGATAGCATCGATTATCAACCCTATCACGGTCCCTGTTAGATCACGTAATTACCCGACATCAGACAAGTGCATTCAAAGCACGTCAGAACAGCCCATCGGGAATGATGAAACCATTCCCAGCACTACTACTGTCCCGGGAAGGCAAGTCGAACTATCTTGGGCACATGACACCGCGTCCACCGTCCACTCCCAGCGTTTGACCCGTGATGAACGAAGCATCATCCGAGGCCAGGAACGCGATCGGCTTGGCCACTTCCATCACTTCACCAGGACGACCGAGAGCGTGCGTCGACTTGCAGTGCTCCAAGAAGTTCTTATACTTCTCGGGTCCCATTCCAGAGCGGGTGTGAAGCTCTGTGATGATAACCCCGGGGTTGACTGCGTTGACACGCACTCCACGATCTGCCAGCTCCAGAGCGGCGCATCGCGTCAGCTGGTCCACCGCAGACTTGGACATGCAGTACGCCATGACGCCCGGAAAAGATCGCGTCCCCGTGACGCTAGAGACGTTGACAATGTTGCCCTTGGTCTTCATCAGATGCGGAATGGCCAACTGAGAAAGGCAGACCACCGAACGGCAGTTGATTTCCATCTGTTTGTCGTACTGCTCCAAACTAAGAGATTCCAGGGGGCCTCCGACCAGAACGCCGGCGCTGTTCACCAGTATGTCGAGCTGGCCAAAGTGTTTGATGGTGTCACTGACAAGCTGCTGGCAGTACTCCTCCTTGCACACATCTCCAGCAACTGTGAGGACCTGATCGGCCGCAGCTCCTGCCGCGTGACACTTGTCGGCCACCTCCTTCAGACGATCCTCGTTACGTCCAGCCAGCACCACCCTCGCGCCCAGTGATGCAAAGTGTTCAGCCGTGGCAGCGCCAATGCCTGAGCTGGCGCCTGTGACGATCGCCACTTTTCCTGAGAGGTTCGGCATCTTGGATAAAGATGTTTGATGTTAGTTGAGAAACCTGAAAAATGGAAATCAAATAAAATGCAAGATGCATAATGAATGTTAGAGGACAGTAGGAGATTGCAACACGGTTCTGAGCTCAAATTTTAATAAAGCATGCAGTTGACAAGCCCTTGAAACCCAAACATATCTTCTTGCAAATGCATGGGTACTTGATTGAGTGGCTTAGTCATTAGGGTGTGTCATCAGTAACAGAACCAAATGCCGTAAAGAAATTCCTTGGCACTGAGACCTGCAAACACACGGCATAGCAACCGTTTTTGCAAAAAATTAAAATTCGTCCGTTCAAAGTTTTGGCGCCCGGCGTTGCAGTCTCCAATGCTGAGCGTCACCCAGCACTGCGAGTAACACCAAGTATTGCAGCAGGTAATAATGCAAAATAACTACCGCTGAAAATGATGCTTTTGAGCGCTTCTAAGGCTGATTGTTGCAAAAAGCATGTCATTAGAGTGTCCAATTACTGTTTTTATTGTGCTCAATGAATTAAATCGAGCATTGCTACTGAAACTAAAGAAAAAACTGCCCGATTTTGAGAAGCGGGCGGGGTGGAACTGGAGGCGGAGACGGGAAGTGACTCAGATTCGTCTTCTGAAAACACCGACTCCGTGGCATCCTCTGGGCGGTGCTTCTTCTTCTTCTTCTTCTTCTTCTTCAGCATGTCATCTCGTGTGACCCGGCCCGTCTCCACCAGGAAGTCCCGGATGAGTCCAGCCTCGGTGGAAAGGATCTCCCTCAGCGTCGGCAAAGGGCCCCACGGGCGGGTCCGTGGCCCCTGGTAGGCGGGGTAGTCGACCAACAGGTGTTTGGCCGAGTCCGGTTCGTCGCAACGGACTTTCTCGTCAGACTCGGCCGGACCGAGTCGGAATCGGGTGTCTCCGGTGAGTGGGGAGCAGCTCACGCGGAGCTGTGCCACTGTGATCGACGCTCGGCGGTCCAGTTCTCTCTCCGTGGCCCAGAGCGCCACATCGTCCGCATTCGCAGATGTGTACCTCCAGTTCCCGAGCCGCAGTTATAGCCGGTCATACGAGCCTGCAGGGTTAGCGTCCGATGGCTGCGTTGGTCCTTCAGGAAGACAGCCTCCTGCTGAGTGACTCAGTGGGCGATGAGACTTGTGCACCTGCTCTGAGAGTTGCATTTGCATTTGGCGATATCCAGGAGTTGTTGAATTATGCAGTGGCGGCGCTTTGTTCCTTCCTGTGTCTCTGGTGTTTTGTTCAGAAGTCTGTAGGGCTGTCTGTAGGGCTTATAGCAGTACCTTTTGATCGCTTTCGTCGTGTGTTTTACATAGATCGCGAACAGGGATTCCTTCATTAGTTCAGAGTTGCCTTGTCCTTTTTTTCGCCACGGCCCTAAATGCACTATTTGTTGGATTTCTTCTTTGAGCACTCAGCCACCTGACATAACTGAAGGCCTCTGCTTTAGTCAGCAGTCGCTGTTGGGACAAAAGTGCCGGCTGTCCTATCACGAAATGTTTTGTACGCGGCCGTGTCACTTTCGGCAGGGCCCTATGCTATCCGGATCATAATTCACGAGGCGAAAAAAAACGTAGCTGATTAGGAAATGCCCATACGACAATTATAGCACGGGAACCAGCAAAGCGCCGCCACTGCATAATTCAACAACTCCTGGATATCGCCAAATGCAAATGCAACTCTCAGAGCAGGTGCAAAAGTCTCATCGCCCACAGTCACTCAGGAGGAGGCTGTCTTCCTGAAGGACCAGCGCAGCCATCGGACGCTAACCCTGCAGGCTCGTATGACCGGCTATAACTGCGGCTCGGGAACTGGAGGTACACATCTGCGAATGCGGACGATGTGGCGCTCTGGGCCACGGAGAGAGAACTGGACCGCCGAGCGTCCATCACAGTGGCACAGCTCCGCGTGAGCTGCTCCCCACTCACCGGAGACACCCGATTCCGACTCGGTCCGGCCGAGTCTGACGAGAAAGTCCGTTGCGACGAACCGGACTCGGCCAAACACCTGTTGGTCGACTACCCCGCCTACCAGGGGCCACGGACCCGCCCGTGGGGCCCTTTGCCGACGCTGAGGGAGATCCTTTCCACCGAGGCTGGACTCATCCGGGACTTCCTGGTGGAGACGGGGCGGGTCACACGAGATGACATGCTGAAGAAGAAGAAGAAGAAGAAGAAGAAGAAGAAGCACCGCCCAGAGGATGCCACGGAGTCGGTGTTTTCAGAAGACGAATCTGAGTCACTTGCCGTCTCCGCCTCCACCCAGCCCGCTTCTCAAAATCGGGCAGCTTCTTCTTTAGTTTCAGAAGCCATGCTCGATTTAATTCATTGAGCACAATAAAAAGAATAATTGGACACTCTAAGGACATGCTTTTTTGCAACAATCAGCCTTAGAAGCGCTCAAAAGCATCATTTTCAGCGGTAGTTATTTTGCATTATTACCTCCTACAATACTTGGTGTTACTCGCAGTGCTGGGTGACGCTCAGCATTGGAGACTGCAACGCCGGGCGCCAAAACTTTGAACGGCTGGCGCCGCACGAATTTTAATTTTGGTGGACTCGGATATGGATGAAAATTCATTATTGATCAATGTGCCAAGGAAAAACCTTACGGCGTTTGATTCTGCGAGAATCACCCCCTCGATGACACACCCTATTAGTCAGGTATGAAAGAGTGGATGAAATGAATACAAAAAATTGGCTACAAGTGAAAGTTTCTTATTGCTAGGTATCCAAATTTAAAATAACAACACTGCTAATTTACATATATGTATGAACGAAACAGGTATTCACAAAGTCCTTTCCGACGACGCTATACCCATATCAGCCTATTCAGCTCTGCGAACCTCATCCCCCGCGGTTTGTACATCTAGGATGAAGATTTTTAGTCTCTCTTGATTAGGCACTTCTGGCACGGAATATATATATATATATATATATATATATATATATATATATATATATATATATATATATATATATATATATATATATATATATATATATATATATATATATATATATATATATATATATATATATATATATATATATATATATATATATATATATATATATATATATATATATATATATATATATATATATATATATATATATATATATATATATATATATATATATATATATATATATATATGGTCTCCCTTTTACGACACTAGGAAACCCAACTGATCAGGGGGAGTCACCTAAGACCTATGCGTTAATCATTGACAATAAGGCATACCACCATACACTGCATACTTCCTTTTAGTATCTACAATTATGAAAGTGTATTGCTCACTTGATACGGCAAAGATTGGGGCAAGGATTGGGGCTTTGGTAACAGTGCCACCTACTTACTTTGAAGCCAAAGCGTAAGCAACGCCATCTAGCAACCATTGTTGCATGCATCCATTGTAATTTGTATCTTGTGAGATACATGTATGATGCAGCTGCGATGTGTACTCAGGTGTTCAGGAATAGAGATCAGGAACGGTTTGAAACTCAAACAAAATACCGTTTGGATGAAACCCGATTCTCTTTTGCTTAGGTATCATACTAAAGAGTTCCATGGTTCCATGTCAATAGGACCAACATCCAAAGCCTACACAAACCTAACACTTAAAACCTTCTTACAGAATGCTATGCTGGGTTATATTAGATAAGGTTGGGTCGGGTGACCTCACCTGAACTAATTATCATGATATTTGCTGCACAGTTAAGCAACATTTTTATTCAGGACATTGAAGACATGGCAAGGAACAAAATTTGGTCTTCAAAAATTGTGTGGACCTCAGCTTCAGACTTCAGTAATACTGGGAAATGAGCACCACTGAAAACATCTTGTTTCTGAATTATGAAACAGTGCTCTATAATCTTACAGCATGCTGCAAAGTAGACATGGAAGAGGGTTTCAAATGGAAGCATAGTAAATAGTATAAAGCAACTAGATGGTCAGGCACAGGCAACCTTAAATTAAATTGAATTTAATTGCTCTTGCTCCAAAGAAGCTCCTACATGACTGAGATAGGGTAGAAAAAATTGCAAAGCAAAAGTGGAAAACAAGCACATTTTCTTACTTAACCAACTCACTGAATAAAAAGATGCACATATTTTTTTGATAAAAAAATAAGAAATTTGAATCACATAGACACCTAAACCCTAAGGACAATTAAGATATTTAAACTGATAAAAGCAGTACCTACCCTAGGCAATCATTCATCTTAAACTTTGAAATTTCTCAAGAAACATCAATAAAGCCAGCCACCTGAAGGCTGAACTTAATTCATTAACATATTTGGTAGGTCATCTCTGGGTAGGTATTTTTCAAGGGACCAAGTCTTCATGCACCGATTGTTAAGAAACATCTTAATTTATATGACCATATCCTTGTAAATTTAAGTTTAGAAAGCATCTTTCATGGACATGTATTACCTGAGCATTTTAAACTAACGTTATGAGTTACTAAACTAACGTTAACGTTATGAGGATCTCAGGATAAATAAGGTCATAATAACACCTGAGTGATCACTATGTGTTACGTTGCACTTGCATCTCAGCTCAGCAGAGGCATCCAGACTGACCAGTGACCACTATCACACAGCCTCTCAATTTTTTGGCAAGGAACAACCAGTTGTAAGATTGGTATATAGTTATCATTGAGATATGCCTTTGCTTCGCCCTTGAGACAGCCTTTGCTCATATTAAGTTCCGAATGGTAAGTGAAATGCAAAATTCTTTGAAAAAAATGCCTACCTATAATTCGTCCATGGGACTTCTTCAGGGTCACAATCAAAAGGTAACTATTTTCTCAATGATAACTATTTTCCTTCTAACAATGCTCAGCACAGCACTCCACCAAATATGTTCGTAAGATTGGTATTGTAAAATTGGTAGAAGATTGTAAGAAAGTCCATTGTAAAATGAGAATTATGTTCAGTTCTGCTATCTGCTAGGGGTATTCAACATAAATATTTTACTTTTTACACCAGTTCCTGAGGCTGGAGGATTTGATGATACACTTCATGTGATACACTTCTAGATCCAAATCAATATTAATTTTCGACTTACCTGAATCTACCCGACGAAAGCAAAATTTCTCAGAACGAAATTTTCCTCCTCTCACTCTAGCCTTGCCTTCGCCCGCTTCGCCCTCTTCGCCAAAGGTCTTCGCCTTTGCCTTGAAGCAGTGCTTGAAGCTGAAAAAAAAAATCCACCGAAAACGTCGGTGCTGCGCTGAAAATGACTAAACTAAATTATTGAACGCGACTACTAATTACAATTTTGCGAGCTTGTGCCCGATTCTGTGGGAATTTTCCGAATCCGACATTGATTTTTTTTTTCAAATAAAGCAAGTTGAGACACGCCCTGTCCAAATCCGTCTTGGCGTAAAGATAGTCTAAGTATTTTTCAAATGCTTCTTGCAATACAGCTGTCCATGGCCGGTGGCGAGGCGATCATCGCTGGGCCGTGGGCGTATGGGCGTAGGAGCTTTACGAAAAGGGGATCGAGTCTTTTATGTCAATGGTGAATAAGTCTCCAAGAGCCAGGAGGCTCGAAAGACCAGTGGTTTTAGACGGCCCATGGTTGCCTCTGAGCGCCGCACACCACGCGACGGCCCCTAATAGATCCTGGCCCGTCTCCGAAACCAGCCTCTGAAGGCGCCGACTTCGGAGGGTGCCGCGATGCTCCAGAATTCTCCATTTTGATTTCAGTAAGTCATACACCCTGATGCCGAGGGTCCAGCGCCAGGTCCTTCCATCATCAGATCACGAAAACTCAAACTCATAATCTAACTCTCATCCGTTTATTTTAGCAAGCATCGTAAGTTGTCGAATTCTTCACTCAGCGTGGGCCTTCAAAGCCTTCCCTGGGCCTTTTCATCGCAACCATCCTATTTAGTCGGCGTGGACCTCTCAGAACGGCGTGAGTTCCGCTAACACTACAATTTAGTGCCTTTAAAACTGCACGTTTTGTGCATCGGGTCCGGTGATGGCGGAGATTTCTAAGTTTTTTTTTTTAGACTTTAGTTTGTCTTGTCAGTGACCAAGGTGGAAAAGTGGCCGAAATTTGATGAGAAAGGCAGATTTGGGGGTACCCTACCTTGGGAAACCCTAGTCACATATGGTCGTCCGCCGCCTTTGGGCCCTACCAATCATTTCGGAAAACGACACCTCTGGGTTGTAGGCTGGTCGGTTGACGCCTGACGGTTGCGCCGGTGAGACTTGGTACTGGAGCTGGGCCCTTTCTCACACATGGGGTTGGGGTAAAAGTGTAAAACTTATGAAAGAACCTACATGAGCACTAGCAAGTAAACACAACATTCAAACACAGTTTATTTATCAAAATCGTTAGACGTATCAATCTATCGAACACTGTGCAATTTACCTATTTCGGGACGAATGGTGAGGCCACAGCAGCCGAGTCCGAGTAGTTCGCGAATCGACTGGCTCCCGACATATCCGCAAAAGGCAGATGACATGGGCTTCAACAGTATCTACTGAAAACAAGCAGGAATCTCAAAACACAGTGATTACACTACCTTTGACATTCCCTGAAAACATCATTAATAAACTAAAAACTGGCACACAACCGAAATACATACCTACTTGTCATATACGCTCTGTCGGACCGTCTATCCAACCCGGGCACATCGATCCCTCTAAGCACCCAGCTCGGCAATGCCCTTCTTGACGGCCTCGCCGAGCATGTTGGCACCCTCGACGTTCACGCTGTAGTAGGGCAGCTGCGTCTGCAGTCGTGTGAGCCAGGCGCTGATGCGCGGCCACTTGTCCTTCTCCAGAAGACCTGCCGCCTGCACGGTGGACACGTTGGCCAGTACAGCCAGGTCGGCCACCGTCACCCTCTCGCCGGCGACGTTCTGCGAGCGACCCAGGAAGGTCTCCAGCAGGTCCAAGTTCTCGTCCAGCTTCGGCTTGTTCTTCTTGAATTCCTCCAGGTCCTTGTTGAACAGCACCGGAAACTGTAAAAGCGGGTGGGGAATGTATTTATGACGTGGTTCCACGTATCCAAAGAATCTTGGTTCTACCATACATGTTTACACAAGAGTGCGCAAAGCTTTTCTCTGCAAGATTCTTAGATAACTTAGAAAGTTCCATAAGTTGACGTTGAAAGACACAAATCGTTCCTTCACTCCGAAGCCCGACTTTCACAAGCTCTTTTAACGCCAACTTTTTCTGATCTGAGCGTTTGCTTTCATAACCCAGCTGAGGTAGATGTGGGTGGACGCTTGGAAAGGAGACCTGAGAGTAATCTGTGAGTAAACAAAGCTCTCAGGCATATCAGGCACCTACCACGATGCCCCTAATGCTGGAGAAGAGTCCGGAGTCGAAGTGGAGCCTCTGGTCGACCTTGGCTCGCTCCGCCGGGTCCTTGGGGTACAGCTCACTATCCGGCGCGTACTTGTTCATCAGATAGGTGATGATGGCCTTGCTGGAAATGGGTAGAGGACGGTTAACACTCGAGGGTACTGACGAGACATGAGGTACGTCAGCAACGGCGTGACCATTTCCTGAAGAACAGTATACACGACAGGGGCGTCGACGCGTAAGGAAAACTGGTCCGACTTTTTCTCGGGGGGCCCCCACCGGTGGGGGCCCCCAGGTGTTAGGTTAGGTTAGGTTAGGCAGGGGCCCCCGTGGCCGCAGCTGGGCCCCCGAGAGCCCCAACAGGGGCCCCCGCGGCCACAGCAGGGCCCCGCGAGCCACAGCAGGGCACCGCCTAGTCGAAAAAGTGGTCCGACTAGTCGGAAAAGTCGGACCGGTGTCGACGTCCCTGATACACGATCCGCTTCATGTGGAAAGACTGGTACATCGAAACTATATCGTTGATCGCACATGTAGTGTGAAGCATTAGTGCGAGATAACTCAACGGCTCCGCATGCCACCAAGGAATCCGGCGTCTTCCCACATACCTCTCTCCCAAGCACAGGTCGCCATCCTTCATGGTTGGCACTGTGTGTGCCGGGTTCATCTTGAGGAACTCTGGCGACCGGTGCTGGCCAGCCTGCATGTCTACCTTGTTGAAGGTGTAGTCCAGGCCAATGGCCTTGGCCACCAGGTAGACGGCACGGCACGGCGGGCTGCCCTGCACGCCGAAAATGTCCACTCCCATCGCTGGCTGAGGATAAAACAGAGAGAGGTGTTAGATGCGTCGAATGGGGTGTTTGAAGTTCATTTGCGTAGGCCGCCGGATGGTTTGAGTCTTGTTACCTTTAGACGCGAAAGCTCTAAGAGAAAAATCACCCAAATGAATAAAGGATGGGAAATTTGTTTTCATAAGTTAACCGTGCCAGTTCCGCTCATGTTCTGAGGCTATAATACATACTAATTTTTGTTGTGCTGATCATATTTGGCGCCGGGACCCATTTCGGTTCGGCATCAGGGCGGACACAACTGTGGGTCGAAGCTTGAAAATCGATTGAACGTTATGCATCGTGGTTGATATACCGAGTCTACTGGTCGTCTCGTATTGATCGATCGTAATGTATCTTATACATGATCTCATCTATTGATTTTTGCTCAGCTGTGAGACATGGGAACACATGTAAACACGTTTTCCCAGTATTATCGACCCACCGCGCCTGAATAAACTGACTTGGGACTCCCGGCAACCACCCCGCCCCTTCTGAAAACAATAAACATACCGGCTGACGGTGCCTTTGAACGTTCAGCGCGGCGGGACTTTTATGGTTCGTATGGCTGTTGTCATGGTTGTCCTGGCGGTCTGCCATGGCGAGTATGGACTATGGAGGTCAACAACCGGCCCTATCTCGAACTTCACAGGAAGGTTGAAGGTCAACTCTAAAAGTCTCCGTCATCTAGTGAAGGTCAAATGACATCGGTGCTGGTCTGATAACCCACGCGGGGCACCGCTCGCATGCTCGTGGCCCGAGTGCTGTATGCATGTACTTCTGCGGTTAGGACATCTGCAATAATGGGAACGGGAAGGATGATGGGCAGTGCGTGGTTACATCAATGTTTTCTTCTCAGGACTTATGCTCCGAAGCCAATGAGCCCCATTTCATGCTCGGCGAAATATATTCCGGTGAGATAGAATAGAATTAAACGGTGTTTCCATCCGAGACGTCAATTTCTCAACGCACCCTTAGGTTATTTGACTCGATATGAAAAACAAGGCATGTTATCATACTAGTCGTGGATATCCAGTAACACGCTGTCATCAAATACCTACCAGCGGACATCCCTAGTGCCGTAACTCTGTCAATAACATACTTGTTAAATACGTGCTAAATACGGGCGACGGAAGCACGCAACTGGATCAGCAAGGGGATGCGAACGGGCCTATCATTCAGGAGCTTGTAACTGCTTACTTGTTAGTGGAATGCGGCGTACAACTCGAAGACACTGAAGAACGTTGCGCTGGAAGCCGCTGCTTCCACGTCCTTCCCCGCCTCCCGTCAGTCGACAACAGCAGTAGACCCGGCAGCGGCAGCGGCAGTGGCGGTCGAAGGTGCAAGTCACGCCCGCGTCGGACTGCCCCAGGCGACAGGGGCGGCACCAGCGGTCATAGTCAAGGCCGGGGTTATAACCGCTGCCCGACGCTGCCCGGCGTCTCAGGACTAAAATCCAGTGAATGATAAGCAAAAAATAGCGAGGGGATCATAGGGGCCGTGCTTCTAGAATATGTTATGCCACTGACGTGGCAAGAATGATGGTGAGTCCGCGTGACTTGCCATACTGGCCACTGCAGACAGATAGGGGACCGCGATACGGCGGGGCTTCCGTGAGCGGGTGTGTCACAACTTCCTTACTGTCCTCGTCTAGCATGTTAGCTGGAGGGGGAGGGGGAACGGATGGTTGATGCTGTTTTACATTGTAACCGCAGCTCGCAAAAATCATCGAAGGAAGTATTTTATCAATCTCTGAATATACCTGACAACGATAAGCTCCAACACCGAATACTGTAATGTCCCGGCGACCTTCGATTCCGTTGCGTGAAAAGAGCCATCAACACGGCTATGGGACGTTGAACACACAGTCATGGCAGCCAACAAACAGATGAACGTTGCCATAGCGACGACAATCACCAATAGACTACGCGCTGACGTGACAATGCATTCAGTACCGGCGAACAATTTATTATCTGATTCTGAACCAACAAGAGGAGACGACGAAGCGGCCCCGCACAGCGCACTTTGCGCCAAAAGACGACCGTTCCCCACTCGATTTTGTAAATTGAAGTTGCGACTTGCGAGTCATGACGCTCGCACACTTCGAGTACACACTACCACTCCCCATGTCCTCGCCACAAAAGGAAGGGATAAAAAGGAAGGAAGGGGTAGACGTGGAGTATGCTCGCACTGACGGTCTCCTGCGGTTCCAACACAAAAGACAGACAGCGGTTCAGTAGCTGAACGGTTTCGATGTTGAACGTGGGGACGCCACAACATTCCCAAAGTGCTTTTAGCCGCTGGCTTCACGGACAAAGCGATATGACATACAGGGTGTCCAGAAAAAACGGATACTATTATTTTTTGCTGTAATTCCAAAAATAAACACCGCACATTTTAAAATGGCACATGCTTGTATTCGCAACAATATGGCAAAACAGACAGCAGGTGCCACATGACATGTAAACCCTTTGGTCAGTCACGGCAGCTCCTCAAAGCAGATTCTCAATGTGAGCGGCCTTCCGGCGGATCAGCTCCAGCACTAGCACAGTCTGCAGGTGACTGATGGTCATGTTGACCATCTCGGAGGTCAGGCAGACAGCTTTCCAACGACGTATTACAGTGCGCATGAGTTTTGCCACATCTTGCACTATAAGCATATGAAGTTGGAAAGAAATCGGCACGTGCGTTAATTAATGCGACTTAAGTTCCGTAGTATCTTTTTTTTCTGGACACCCTGTATGATGAGTGTTGACGCACATTCAGTCCGCACGGGCCACGGGATAACTGAAAGTCAAGATCTTTGCTGAGGGTCTCCCGGCTCACCGTTTACGCTTAGTTTATGTCTTGAAAGCATATTCCCAAAGATTTGAAAGAAAGTGACAAGCTAATGCTGCAAGGTGATAGTTACCTCTCGATTAATCTAACCGCAGAGCAGCATTAACTTCTACAATCTGTATCTAGTCGGACCCGAGGTGTACTAGTCTACTGCTCTTCACGGATGGCGACGGGATGTACTGGTACCAAAAACTTGCGCATTTGGTAACTGCCATTCGAATCGACGGTCATTTTCGGCTTCCATAATTTTAAAACGTTGCTGCCATTGCGAGAGTGAGTGTAAGATAAACGATCCAAACACAACACAATTACTCAATTTTATATCTCCTTAAATTTCTAACACCTGCACTGCATTCCTCGTCATCGTTTCGATATATCATCTTTTTAATGGCACTGGGGAGACTGAAAGAGACCTATGGCCTCGCAGTATGGATTATCTGTAACAAACAGAAGTGCGGCTGCTTGAGGAGTTCTGGTCGCATGACCCGCTAACACGGCTCGCTATGTGGACGTCATTTATGTGAAAGGTGGCATTTTGATGAATGGGTAGCTCAGTAGACATACACCGCAGTTGGTCTACTCAGTCCAGTGGACGGTCACAAAGTCCAATGGGCGGCTAGCGTAGTGGGCTGACAGTTTAGTGGATAGGCAGTTCAGTGGACGGGCAGTTCAGTACGTGCGGACAGCTGGTGTAGTGGAAGTACTGGCTATCAATCCACTGGACTGGCGATTTTTAGCTTAGGACCATAATCCTTTAGTTCGTTGAGAGTAAAGTAACTTTCCAGAGATCGTAGAGGTATCGTTGAGCACATGAGCTCAAGCGCTACTCTTCATGTCCTTGGACAAGGATGGGAGACCGAATCTCCAAGCTGGCAATCAGAGGAGCTCACCGTAACAGCTTTCCACGATCCTCCCTACTTCTTCATTGATCGTCAACCGAACGGCACTTTCGAGTTCAGCGGATACATCTTCGAGTTATGGCAGATGCTGGCTCACAAGCTCCGCCTGAACTACCGAATCGTTCCGCTGTTTTCGGGAGGATTCGGGAACCTGGGCGCAAATGGTACGTGGGGAGGCATGACGGGTGAGCTGGCCTATGGCAGGGCCGACGTCGCCCTCACCTGGCTCGGTATGACCCCAGAGAGGGCTAAAGTGGTTGACTTTGCGGACGCAGTGCCACTGAGTTCCTACCACAACACTTTCTTCGTGAGTAGCCAGACGGGAGAGGCTCATCGCATCTCGACCGAGCTGTTTGGACTACTTCTGAAGCCGCTTCATGTGTACGTCTGGTGGACCTTGCTTGCTGCTTTACTGGGAATAGCTGGAGCTCTGGGACTCTCACTCTGTGCCCAACGCAAGCGGTTGAAGCGCGAAGTAAACGATCACGAAGATGTGAGCTTAGGGTCGTCTATCTTCTCCTGTCTGATGTCCATCCTGAGACAAGGCTGGGTGTCAACTCCAAGAACAGCATCGGCGAGGATCATGTTTCTGGTGGCTTGGCTCCTGAGTATCATCATCTACATCAGCTACACGGCGAACCTGATGTCCCACCTGACGGTCCCCATCGTTCACAGGCCAATCACAACCCTCAAACAGTTCCTGGAGCTCCCCAACTGGAAGATCGCCATGGAACCCGGCGCCGAGGATCTGGACCGTTGGGCTGGAAGTGTCAACATGGACGAACGAAAAGTGCGCGAGCTTGTGCTTCAAGGAGACCGCTACCTCCCGGCAAATCTAGCGGCAGAGCAGCGCGAGCTTCTGCATCTAGTCGGGCCCGAGGTTCTTTTGTTCCTCGATGGTGACCGGATGCATTACGCTCTTGGATCCGCGGGGTGTCACAGTCACATGGTCCCTCTGAATGATCCAACCACCACGGATTTTCCGCGACAGGGGTACCTCGCCTTCGCCAAGGGAAAACGATCGCTTCGACAGGCAGTCAACAAGGTGATGCTGAAAATGAGGAGTGCGGGAGTGATTTCTCGTCTCAAGAAGAGATGGCCGAAGCGAGGCATGGAAAAATGCGGACTACCTTCCAGCATCAGAGGGTTATCGTTTCGCGATATGCTAGCTGTATTGATGGTCGTTCCCTTGGCCACAATTTTCAGCGTAGCAATTTTGGGTACCGAGCGTATTTTATCATCAAAGCATACGGGACGTGACGAAGACATGAATATTTTCATCAAACGTCATACGGAGCCTTTCCGCGTGTCTATTGATGGTGCCCAAACTGAGAGTGAGAAAATGATTGCGAGCAATATTTAGAGCGATAAAGTAGAATAGAAGTACATAGATAACGAGCATGCATGATCGAAGCAATAAAATAAAATAAAAACAAAATAAAATTAAGTAAAATAAAATAACATAAAACAGAAAATCGCAAGGGTGAGGCGAATAACTAGAATGGGAGCGCAAAAGGGCTCGTATTTTAGATCACACAGAATGTAGGATGTTTTCGGTATCTGGCAGTATGCTGCCAGTATCGTCCCGTCGGCAAAATATAACACCTTGAAAGTATTGTCACCTTGGCACCAGAGTTCAAATAAATTGATATGGAGAAATGTCTTATGATCTATTATGCTAGCAGGAGACCTACAAAATAACAAAGTCGTTTGGGTTGAAGTCGCTTACAATATCAGAAATGTAGTCTCTGATTTAATTTGGTGAGGTCCAAGTCAGTTAGAATCTAACCTTTCGCTCTAACCATTCCAGACCCATGCCCAATCCGCGAGCACTTGCGTCAATTACCCGTTGCCAGTATAGCAAAGTTTAAAGACAGTCAAACACGTTAACGTTCAATATATTTAACAAGTTCACCATACACACACGTTTGAACACTGGCCTCTATCCACTATCAGCGCCATCTCTGAAAGTTCGTTAATTGAACTTAATGCCCAAGTATTTATTGCATTAGTATTGCATTAGCATTAGCACAATGACAGCCCACTGGCTACTTCGCAGTTCGCATGGTCGTACAAGTAACGTCAGCTGCAGGGGCATAGGTACAAATATTTCGATCCTGAAGACGACCCTGGAAGATGATTGCTTAATCACTGCGGCGATTACTGCATGGGCAGTAATCGCCACGCCATGTGTGGATCGCCCATGATCGTAAATTCATACATACATACATGCTATCAAAAACGCTAAGCTGGTGCACACGGCTCTCCGTGAGTACAGTAGCCAGTCGCCACATCGGTTGTAAACATACATGCAGGGTCTTCAGGCTACATCTGTATGTCACAGTTAGTTCACAGTTTCACACCAGCGTCGAACACACTTAAGTCATCAAATAAAGGCGCTGTTACATGCAAGCACCCACGTTTTTACAACTCATCGCTTAGAACTACGCAACGTCCTTCGTTTGATTCCAGCGCGTCTGTTTTGTTGGGGACCCATTTGTTCCATTAATATGTCAATAAGGTTCCGGCTGTCCATTTTCTAAATGCCACCGGCCACAAAAGTTGCCTGTAAACGCTTTGGCATTTGATGTTTAAAGCTTTTTAATGTTGTAGTCGCGGGTCGCGATCAATTCAATTTGCAATGAGGCTTCAGAGGTGTTCACATAACATTAGTTTGATAACGTAACAAATAGTTTTTACCATGTTTTACTTTGCATTTGGTGCAAAAAGCTTGTATCTAATAATGCAATTCCAATAACAGTATGCGATGTTTTATTCAATGAATTTAGATGGAGTCTGTTTGGGCTTTGCTTTTCCATGTCTCTCTTTCTATACATAATCGTTCAGTGCTGCATGTGTTGTGTTTTATCATCACAGAACTATGCGACTATGTCACCTATGTATATTTATCAACAACATAATTTACAGCACTAGAAAACATTCATTATCTACGTTCTTCTGACAGCATTTGACTTTATCAAGCTGGCCAACTGACTGAACTGTTCTGGCCCATGCTGACCTCAGCTGAACCTTTTTGACCCCGTCTGACCTCTGTTAGTTCCATCTGATCCCGTACCTATGACCTCTGCTGGCCTCATATGACCAACTCAAGTTGACTCTGTCTGACCTCTGCCAATTCCAGCTGACCCCGTATGACCTCTGTTAACTTCAGCTGACCCCATTTGACCTCACGTGACCCCTGCTGACCTAGCAGAGTGTCACCACGGTCCGATACTGGGTCGGTCTCGGCCGTCTGAGCTGGGAGAGCACGCTGTTCAGGTTCAGCGTCGGCCGGCGGGTTCCGATCAGCCCCACCGCCTGGGAATCGGGCCCAGTCACCTGACATCCAGCTACAAAAGGGCACACCTTTTGCGGCTTACCGTCACGGATTTCATAACGGCAATCGCAGATGCTAGGTCGTGACCTCTGAGGACTTCGTCTGAAGCGCCCAGATCTAGCCAGCTGCCCGTCGCTGGAAGTCAATGACGACACGGGCACTCGATAGGTGCAGAGGCGGCGCCGGGCCGGCGTCGGGCGGACCACGGCCGGCCGAGCTGTTGTCGGGCGTGGTGTCCGCGCGTTGGAGGTGCTGCTTACTCGAAGGCAGCAGACGGTAAAGCCGGGACAGCGGCCGAAGGTGGCGCCACCTATACGGCAGCTGCTCGCTGAGACGCAGTTTCCGAGGAAGCCGGTAGATGTCACGCATGACCGGCCAGCCTGGCCTGTGAAAAGGTGACAATCTAAGACAGCGCAACACAGTTAATCGCTGATCGCTGGTGCCACCAGCGATCTCGAGTTACCCCTTACTGGAGAGGGGAGAGGGGGAGGGGGCGAGACTAGTTGAAAGTCCTGAACATTAGGGTTTGTTGGAGCCGTTTATAAAGAGCTAGGACAAATTTTTAGACAAAAAATAAAAAAAAAATTTGAATATGTATATTTAACAATGTTTTGAAAGACATGACTAAAGCTCAAAAGACAGTCTGAGATTTTTTCGGGGGGGGGGGATTCTGCCCAACATTTATTTTGCATTGCATCATTATCATGCAGAAACCTTATGCAGAAACCTTATTTTTTAAAGAAAAACACTCTACAGACATGGCTATATATGCGCTTAAAGAGATCTCTGATTATTTCCTACGAAATGATAGCCCTGTATTCATATGTTTCCTGGACGCACGAAAGGCATTCGACCGTGTAAATCACTGGACATTGTTTGACAAATTACTTGATAAGGGGATGGATTCAAATTTAGTGAAATTACTCAGTTCGTGGTATAGGTCGCAGCGTTTTCATGTTCGATGGGGTAAGGCATTATCTGATGGTTTTTCCGTGTCAAATGGCGTTAGGCAAGGCGGCATTCTCTCACCTTATTTGTTTAATGCATATACGGATGGTTTATCGACTCTTCTCGACCAAAGTGGCGTGGGGTGCCATTATCTAGGTAGTCTCAACCATCTCTATTATGCAGATGATATGGTCATTCTTTCGCCTACGCCTTTTGGGCTTCAAAAATTGCTGAACATTTGCTCCGAGTATGCGAAAGATCATGACATTCTATTCAATACTAAAAAGACAGTCTGCATGGCCATGCTTCCCGTGAGTCTTCGAAATCTATCACTTCCTAAGATATCATTGTGCAATAGTGTGCTTTCATATGTCGACGAATATAAGTATCTTGGATACCACATTTCGAGCACACGAACCAAAGTGGACAATGTCGAGATTTGTCATCAGTACCGATCACTGTGTTGTCGTGCCAATTCATTGAGTCGTAAATTCGCTTTATGTACATATTCGGTTAAAAAGTATTTGTACAATGCATATTGTTCTAACATCAGCTACATGCATTTATGGCACTCGTTTCATGCATCGGTTCTTCGGAAATTTAAAGTGTGTTTCAATAACGCTGCTAGAATGTTTTTAGGCTACCCTAAATATTGTAGTGCCTCTGGAATGTTTGCGCAAGAACACATAGATGGCTTTGATGCGGCCTATCGCAGAGCTGTGTGGAATTTCATGTCGCGTTTGAAAAAGTCAGAAAACCGAATAATGTCTACACTGTATTACAGTGATATCGCCCACACATCTCCTATGCGTAAAGTGTGGACTGCAGCATTGTGCGGTTGAGCGCTGCTGATGTTGGTCATGTACCCATGTCATCTTCATACCGTCATCATCATATGATTGCCACGTCATCATCATTGTGTGTTACTTCTTATGGACCCAGAGTCTGCCAATAAAGGGATCTCTCTCTCTCTCTCTCTCTTATGGTGGGCCGTGGGGGGTGATAACGGTGCCGTGCAAACTTTCCCAATACCATATTCCCTTTTGAATTTAAATCTGTATTTTGAAAGCATGACAGTTATTATTCTCCCTATTCAAAGGAAAAATACATTATGTAACAAAAATGAGGAATAAAAATAGATGCAATTATCTATACCTACCTATTTGGATGAAAAAATACACAATAACACCTTTGAATTGCACTAGAATTAATTCTACATTAATTGTAATAAAACATAAATTGCAACTTTGACTTTTCATTTTTGGTTTTCTATTTTCTATTTCATCTTTTTTATTTTTTATTTTATCCTCTATGTTTTGCTATCAAGAAACACTTCATGTTTGTCACTTCACGTTGCCGTGCAGAACAAAGAGAAATGCAAGAAGCAAATAAATGTCATGAGTATTATTGACACCTGTAATGAAAACTAAGACAGAACGATTAACAGGATAAGACACCACTATTCAATTTTTCTTGAAGCGAGCTCAATGCTCATGTCATGACGTCTGTTGCGATACTACATGGATGGAGCATTGACCTTATAGGACAGACTATTGGTCTAAAAATATCAGCTTTTACGGATAATTATTTAATTAAAAAAATATCAACACTTCCCGAAATATAGATTTACTGTCACCAGCGCCCCATAAACTGTTTACTACGCGTTTAGGACTCACCAAAAAAGGACACAATCCGCCTCTGTCCTGCCGACTGGTGCATCACCAAGAGCACCACCAGCACTAGCACCATCACCATCACCACCTGTCGTCGAACGAAGATCATCTCAGGTGACCTGAGGACATTCACAGTCCTTGCTCTTCCGGAGCGAGCACGCAATGTCCGGTCTGCGCCCGTGCACCCGGGCCTTATAATACGTGGGCGGCCCCGTCCGCTTGGACAGACAACATTCCGCTCTGCACCGGCTAGTATGTAAATGAAACATTATTGCGCACCTCGTGCCTGAATATCGTGACGGTCTACTACACTGGCCAGTGGCTCTGTTGGGTGTCTGCGCACTTTGGAAATACCCTGGGTAGACAATGAAGTTTTTAGCAGCGCGCATCAAATGTTATAGCACGGGATCTCCCTCGCGTTATGCAACCAGGTATTGCATATTTCAGCCAGCAAAGTTGGGCCTGAAAAGCTGTTTTGAATCTTATATAGATGCCTGGCTTAGACACATTTATCACGGCACTGTGCAATGAACACAACAGCAGCTAACTAACTAGTCACCGTACGTGGCAGGAAGTGCCTGTATCTTAGCGTTCACTTCGACTCTCTCTCTCTCTCTCTCTCTCTCTCTCTCTCTCTCTCTCTCTCTCTCTCTCTCTCTCTCTCTCTCGCTCTCCATACATCCCTACAAACATGATAAATCTCCGATTGAAATTCAGGCCCGAAAACAGTGATGACATCATAATACCCTACACTCCCTGCGGTACTATCCCGTTCATCCGATACTAGCGGATATAACCTGACCTTTGACCTCTCTCGGGTTCCTCTCGGGGAAATCCCGCGGAGGCCCGCCCGGCTAAGACCCAGTATCTCCAGCCGGAGACGCGCAGCCCGGGTGGCTGATTTACATGAGGTGATCTGGGACGGGTGACCTTCATAATCGCAGCCAGCGACCTCCGTCCTGGAGCACGCTAGCTAGGCTGCTGTCGTCGTTTGGAGATGGACGGACGATTTGTGGATAAAACTAGACAGTCTTAAGATGTCCAGGTCAGTTCAGGTCAGGCCACTGAGGGTCTTCTTCTGTTAAAAAGGAATGAGGTATGCGACAAATGATTTGAGGACTTTTTTTCTAGCCGGATCAAATGACCATTAGGGAGGCCCTTAATTTCGAACTTTTGATCTTTTACTAGCGAAGGCCTGAATATGGTGTAAAACCATGCAAACACGGCTACTGTGAGTTTTCATATCAATCGGGAATAGTAAAGTGGTGCCCCAAAGCCAATTTAACCCACATCCCGCTTGCCTATTCCAACATTTTCGAGCCACCTGGTACATAGCTCGGGAACCAATAAAGCTACAGCACCGCAGAAAAGCGTGCTCGATAGCACTTTTAATGCTCTTTCCAAAAAAGGCTCTCAGGTTCTCAGTTTCTTTCTCGGTAATTTCTTTTACTCAAGAGAATCACGACATTGATTTTACCAGCATCGTGCTCCTCTGGTAGAGACACGTCGAATGAACAATAACTTGACCTTAAAGGGTCAACTTGAAAATCTGACCTCAGGTCAAGGTCATGACATGACTGGAAAAGGTCATGTTGCATATCAGTCGATCCGTATCGTCGAGCCGAACTCATCTAAGGTGTTTTCATCGCTCTAGCATGCATCTATGAGAAGTTGTTAGCGAAAAACTGTTAGACTCCATTTGTAACCTGAGGTGACCTCAGGGACATGATGAGGGCTCACGGGTAACATTTTCCGCTTCAGTGTGTCAGGTGTACTTATTATGAGTTGTTTGAAAGTGCTTTGAATGGCGTTTGTCAAAAAGAGGAGCATTTTCATTTTCTCCCATTCTCTTATAATGGTGAGGTCGCAAAATTGATCTGGCCTTACGTCACCGATATCCAAAATCCGAGATGCACTTTGTACACATTGTTGCTCTTATCAGTTGCTGAAAGTTTCAAAACGATCGACCTTTCGGTGTAGCTATGACAGACATCTAAACGTTTTATGAGGTGAGGTCACTTGCCGTGACCTGGTAACCTGACCTTGGGTGACCTTGGTCTGAAATTTTAACAACATGTGCGAAAAGATGTATGTACATACATATAATGAGATGTACCAAAAACGGTGGCACTCTGCGCTGCCCTGTTTGAGATATTTGCGAGAAACCGCAGGGGAGTGTTCAAACGCTCCCCCGCAGGGCGCCTGGTGTAGAAAAGGTATAGGATTACCAGGGCTACATAATTATTGCTATCTCGAATTTTTAAAAGCTATCGATTTAGACCCCAATACTAAAAAACGAATCTTTACATAATGCCCCCAGATTACAAAAAAATCAAAATTTTGAAAAAACAGCAAGCATGTTATAGAACTATTGGTCTGCTATTGACATGCCAAATTTGAGCATGCTAGCTTCACTTTGGCAAAGCTATGGCGAAAAAACTGCTTAAAACTTATGACGTAAAATTTTCAAACTTATTTTAGCCGTTATAGACCACGCAGAGAAAAACGAAGACCACCATTGGATTGCCCGTAATGAGCTGCATTGAATATACATCCTTTTAATGCAAAATAACAACTGACCTTTTTTGACCTGACCTTTTGGGGGGGGGGGCGATTTCACTTTATTGGCCGCAATAAACGAGCACTACACAAGCCAGAAGAGAATACCACCCAGAGAGTCAGGAACCCAGACAACATATTCAGGTCTCAGCACAACGATTTCCGCCTAAAACCGCAGATACGCCTCTTTTCCAAGTCCGTAGTTACATCCGGGAGAGCCGGGCGGGCTCTCCACGAGTCCGTCCCCGTCCGCTGCCGGCGGCACACTACAATCACTTTATCACAGTTGGCCGAAACACACCCCTGGTTGCAAACAGCCCCGGCCCGTCGGCCAAAGAGAGCCCGGCGGATTCGTTTCGTTAGATACCGCATGGCCGTCCGGCAGGGACCCCTCAGCCCCACAGCAGCCAGACACCCGTCCCCCCTCCCGTTACAATTTGGAGGCGGCCGAGTCGCCGTCACTGGTGTCGCGTCGCGTCACTGGCCGAGAGGTGTTGCACGCCCGCCCGATTTGGCCCCGGCCCGTCTTTGTACGCTGGAGCCGCCGCAGCTCCGACCTTGATCACAGCACTGAGGACTTGCCGTGCGCGCTCCTGGTCCCTCGCCGCGCACCAGCCAACACTGGCGAACATGCCTTTTTATTTCGATGTTATAACGCATTCCTTTGAAGGCCCGTAATCGGTGAAAAATGCGACCTTTGAGCTGACCTGTGACGTCATCGCTTGCACCAAGGTCAACGGAACTTGGTCACAAGGTAGGTTTCTGGTGGCGCTATTGAATGCCGTTTGAATTTTCAAAATCGGTCGGTGACTTTCCGAGACCCAAGGGGGCTGAAACGGCCCCCCTCCAGAGGTGGTAGGGTCCGCCCATAGCCTAACGGGGGGGGGGGGGCGAGGGTTAACTAATTCAACCGCGGGGCGCGGGGCGCGGTACGGGGGGGAGGGAGGGGCGGTGACCTGCTCGCTCGGCCGTTTCGCTTATAAGGGTGGCGCAGCGACGCTAGTGCGCAGAGTGGCGTCGTCTGAACGGGTCGGGGTGGCTGTGGCACCAGCCGAGGGGAGAGGAAAGGAGGAGATAGGGAGAGTAGGAGAGAGACATGGCCTCACCACAGATACTGGCGACGTTTGTGATTGTGGTGGTGGTGACATTGGTGCATCAGACTGACGGGCAAAGACGGATTATATCATTTACTGGTGAGTTTAAACAGCGGAACTTGAAAAGTGTGATAGCTAATTTGTACCTAATAGTTATAGCTATAGCTTAAAAACTATTTTAGCCGAGGTCAAATTTTCAAGTTGACTTTTCAAGGCCAAATTATAATCAATACACTCGATGCGTCTTGATGAGAGGAAGACGATGCCGGTAAAAGTAAGCTCGTGCAAGGCTTAAGTAAAAGAAGTATTGCAGAAAAAACTGTTTCCGAAAAAAAATCGGCTATGTATTTTGGCAGTTTTGCCCCCTGCAGGCAAAACCATTGACGTTAGGTCAAATTTGAGGGAAATAGGTACGCAGGAAGGGCGTTAGTAGGGCTATCGAATGCACTTCGCGGCGCTCTAGCTCTATTGGTTCCTGAGTCATGCGCTGGCTTCTTGGATATTGTCGACATTCGACCTGAAAAAACGGCGAAATTTTGCCTTCACTAGCCACTAGTGACCTGTCCAAAAAATTGACCGAAGTGATTTCTTCCTTATTTTCGGCACCATTTCGAACGCCGCCTTCCGCGTATCGCTACATGACCCAGGAGCCGAGTTAGAAGGGGGCGGAGGTGTTCAAACATCCCCCAGGAGGGCGTGAAAATCCAGATCCAGGACCCCTAGCTGGGTGTGGATTGATAAGGTTCCAAGAACCCCATGCTTGTTTTTATGCAGGTCTATGAGTTTCATCTGTTTTGTTCTTTCTCAGGTCGGGCCGGACAACCATGTGTGACATCTAGCGGCTTCCTCGGAAGCTGCGTTTCGGCGAGCAGCTGCCGTATAGATGGCGCCACCTCTGACGGCTGCCCGCGCTCTACAGTCTGCTGTCTTCGTGTAAGCAGTACCTCCAACGCGAGGACACCACGACCGACAGCTCAGCCGGTCGTGATCCGTCCGCCGCCGGTCCAGCGCCCCCTCTGCACCTATCGAGTGCCCGTGACGCCATCGGCTTATAGCGTGGGACTGCTGGCCAGGGCTGGACGGACACGGCGAAGCCCTCAGCTGTCGAGCGCGCTGAGTCGTCGCCTACGGCAGCAGGCCAAGCTCCGTCGCAAAACCACTCAGAAACAACCGAAAAGGCAGACGAACAAACCCAATCCCCTGCCACATCTGCATCATAGTCGAAAACCTACACCCAAGCTTCTTAAAACGCGGCCGAAAAAAGTCCGTCCCGACTTTCCGTTCCGGCTTCCTTTCACACATTCAGTAGCACAGTTACCTACGAGCGTGTTACCAAGTAAACCAAGCGCTATCGACACAATCATCTTTATGCAGCCTGATGCTTTTGTCGGTGGAACTAATGTAAGGGACGGGGGGAGTCAGGGCGTTGGCCTCATCGGTTCTGGACTTGCACACTTACAAGTTGACGTGAACGAAGTTCTTCTTGAGATCAAGAAGAAACAAAAACGTCCCGTGGCTCCTCCAAGGCAGCCTGTAGCTACCAACCGACCCGTGATTACAGACCAACGCATTGTGTTCCCCAGCCGACCCCCGCCAGTCCAGTACCGGACCTACATAGCTCCCTGCTAACTGAGCAAGGTGGTAGTGTATCCTGGGATGGTAGCGCCGCGTTCACTTATTGTCCGCAATATACCTATTACCTACATACGACTCATGCTTATGCACATCGTGATGTACCACGATGTCACGACTATACATAGCACTGTGTGCTCGGCTAGATCTTAACTACGCGTAACAGTACACCAACTGAGAAACTCGTTTAAAATTCAGCTAGGTACGCTTTTTGAGTTGTGTGCAACTCGACTCATTCATGTTATGGAGGTCGTGACGGACTCGGTCTGTGAATAGGTACGTACGATCGGCGTAAGGTAGTGTGTTTGTCTGTGTGACTGTAGATTGTAGAACAATGCGCATCTTGCTTTTGTTGTATATCGCATGTATCATGGTGGGATAATTAAAGAGTGTTGGATACAATTTAGCATGAAGTAATGTTAACATTATGATAATGATACCTTACTTATCTCCTAGTTTTGCACTGAAATCATTTGTGATAGGGAAAATTTCAATGTGACATTCATTCAAAAGAACACAAGCTGGTCAGTGCATTGCCAGCAAAAATTTATGTAGTCGTTTCATTTACGGGTATTTACCGGTCATTTATATTTATCTAACTGTGACAGCTAGGCTGCAAGAGCCAACGGATATCAAAGTTTCTTTTCCTTGACATTCCTAATTTCCTTGGCAATTATTTGCTGCGCAACACTGTTTGAACATAGGAACAAATCGGTCAAGAAAACTTTGAAAGGTCATAGCAGCGAACCTGGCTAGTCATGTGATAAAAAAAATCGGGCAGAACGCTGGGAAGTTATGCTTACGCCTTATAATTGTGAATTAGGTTTAATTTAGATGAAAATGGGATTCACTGACCGGGCAATGCTCACCGATCCATAGCATATGAGGCCATCGCCGCGTTCAGTGAGCCTGTGGCCCGACACAGGGCTAGACCTTTGACCTGACCTTAAAGCGACCTTAAAGTGACCGACGTAATTTCGTCATTACTTTTTACGTACGCTCTCTTGAACATTGCCGCCTATTGCGTTTCGCTACGTGGCCCAGGAGCCGAGTTAGAAGGGAAGTGTTCAAACACCTCCCTCCCCCAGCAGGGCGTGGAAATCCAGGACGGCCCCAGTGGGGCGCGGGTTAGATTGGTTGTTATTTGTTAAAATTATGTTTTATTTGTTAACGTGACACCGCTTTTCGCCTTGAGATAGATGATAATGGATGATATGCTACCAAGACGTTCGATCACGATGAAATACGAATGCTGTATAATAAATACTTGTGCCGGTGATAAAACAGAAGTTCAACATTTTTTTTTTTTCATTTGACATGCTTTATTTGACTTGAGGCTGAGGTAACCCGAAATAACAGTTTTAGTACCAATCATGAGACACCGCCCTGGCTCAAACCTTAGGATCCTCCCCCCCCCCCCCCAACACACAACACTTATCACCATACCACTATACCAGTCATGCGCCGTACAAAAGCTGTAGTGCACACTGTGCAGCCCCTTGTCCCCTCCTGGCTCTCATGTTAGTACGTACCTCACACCTCCGACCCATCAGAGGAACGCCCCCCCCCCCCTCCGTGGGAGCGGACAGCTGCGTCCCCCCCCCCTGCCGGTGGTCGCCTCTGCGCGCTGGCACGTCATCCGCCGCTAATGTGTTTGCGCTAGTGGCCGGCCATTAACCCGCGCACCGACGGGGGTCTGCGCCAACTTAGTACCGACGGGGGGGGGGGGGGGGCGGATGACCGCCCCCCCCTGAGATCTCGAGAACGAAGCAAGATAGCGACAAGCGGTAAACGGCATCGGATACGCACGGACAAGGTCTACAATTTTTACTAAGGTCATTTTCAGGTCAGGTCAAAGATGACGTCACAGGGGTCGAAAAAGTCAAAATGGCGGCGCTAGATATGGAGAGGGTTTTTCTCGAATAACTTTCGAAGTAGTCAAGATAGGAACAAACTAAGGGCATCATCGTGATCCTCTCGTCAATCCGCATCGAATGATATATATGTTGACCTCGAAAGGTCAAGGTCAAAGGTTGACCTCAGGTCACGTGACCTCGAGGTCATCATGTATATCATTCGATGCGTCTTGACGAGCTGAACACAATGAGACCATCCGCGCGGCTGTGTCTTGTTCCTGTAAGGAGTTATTGGCAAAAAACCTTTGGTGACCTTTGATGACGTCACATGACCTTACAGCTGCCCAACAGCAAAACAGACCTCAAGGTAGTGAAGGTTGATCGTATGTGAAGTCATGTATGGTATATGGGGCCATTCCGACCCGTTTTAGTGGTAAAAACAGGGAGTTGATTTTTCCCCCATTGACTTATAATGGGGAGGTCGCGAAATTGACCTGACCTTAGGTCACCGACATCAAAATTCCGAGATATACAAATTGTAGCTACTAATGACCTAATAACATCCTGCGACTTTCAAAGGCCTCCGACATCTACTGTAGCTCTGGCACGGTGACAAAGTTGCAAAAAAGTGACTTGAGGTTGGGTCATTCAAAGTGACCTGGTGACCTGACCTTAAAAGTTAGGAGGTTCAAACTTGCACACCATGTGTAAAATTGATGAGAGAATAGTCATACCAAATTTCGCGGCGCTACGCGCCGCGGTTTTCCCGCTATCCGCGAAAAACCTCAGGGGGGGGCGGATATCCGCCCCCCCCCGTCGGTGCGCGGGTTAATGGGCAGCCATTAACTGGTGGACAATAGTGGTGGTTCGACGCTTCTCACCCCCGTGTCTGACAGAGAAGGATTGGGTCGCTATCACTGGTGTTAGGGGAGCGGAGAATCACTGCTAGTACCATCGTCATGGGAAGAGGGAGATAGAGAGAGAGAGAGAGAGAGAGAGAGAGAGAGAGAGAGAGAGAGAGAGAGAGAGAGAGAGAGAGAGAGAGAGAGAGAGAGAGAGAGAGAAGAGAGAGAGAGAGAGAGAGGGAGAGAGAGAGAGAGAGAGAGAGAGAGAGAGAGAGAGAGAGAGAGAGAGAGAGAGGGAGAGAGAGATTAGAGGTAGTAGAGAGTGGGAAAGGGAGAGCAAAAAGTTACAGATGACTAAGGGTAGGGAGGAGAGGCGGAAGAGAAAAAGAAAGAGCTGAGCGAGAGAAGGTAAACATGATGAGAGGATAAAAATAAAAAATAACAATAGAGATTGTGTTATTCGTTGCTTTTTTATCTTAGAAACGTGATGAGATGTATGCCTGCCTGAATATGTAGTGTATACGATAAAAATGGATAACCCGTAAATCCGCTTGGTTTGGGAGCAGGGATTTATCAATATCAACACCACTTAACTGAAGTAAAGGGTGCGCAAAAAGTTCTGGCACTTCTACGCGTGCTGCGGCTGCTTTCCGGGCAGCCAATAGCCGCACGCATTATCTTCAATGATCCTGCTATGCAACCAGATGTCAAACAAAGCGGACCTTTAATAATGAGCGGCAAGTCATGAATAGGCAGGCTAACGGTCACATTGTCGTGGTGGTGAATCGGGCATGACTATTATGTAGGTTGCGGGGAAATTTGGAGCCCCCTGCGAAGCATAGCAAAGTATCAAAGCCAGAAACGAATAGGGGAGGTCCTGGAGGATGCCCTCAGGCCAGGTCGGTCACATCCAGTCAGAACTATGAGAATGCCACTGTCATGTCTTTGGCTATCTGGGACAACCAACGGATCGGGTGGGAAAAAGTGTTCAATCGTCTTCATTGACGCAAATGAGAAGATGAACAGGACGATGCATGAGCGTCTACTTGCCAGTGCCGTCATCCCATAGATTCTGAAGACGTATCCGGAAGTTCATTCATTCATTCATTCATTCATTTATTTCGTATGATCTCCATGATCAATAGTCAATGCAAGGTAGTAAAAGCAAGCGAATAAAACACGACGAAAATGAACATGAAGTAAGATGCATACAACTACGCTAAAATCAATTGGAGTGTCGAGCACGGCCTCGCGTCTGCAGCCAGCCCTCCACATTCCGCTTAAAACTGGCTACGCTGGCATCCCTCACGTTAGCCGGGGCCTCGTTCCACAGCGACAGCGCCCTGTAGCTGAAAAATCGCTTAGCCATCGGCTCGCATTAGCCGCGCGTTTGCAGTCTTTTCGTGGTTTCAAGCGTTTAAACATGCGATACGAGCTGCTCGTATGATGCTGCTCCCATGCATAAGGGTGAATGTCAAGGCCATCTGAAGGTCAGGTCAGGTCACTGACCTTTGATGACCACGGTTCACTATTTCGAGTTTCACATGTTTTTAGGCTAGTTTTTGGAGCTGACTTCAAATTTAGCAACCATTTGAACATTAACAAAGTAGTTTTGATACCTTCGTAGCATGTTACGAAGCTGTCAGAGGCGGTTGACACGTACTACGAATATCTGGCACGACCCCAACCGGTTGACCTGACCTGACCTGACCCGACCTGGCCTACATGCGTAAAGACATCATCTGTGATCAAAACTAACATGCTATTCGTGATCAGCACCCCGAAAAACCCTGTAGCAGCCACACTTTACCGACGTTCTAACAGGTCCCGATTTTCCCGACTATTGGGTCATTGACCTGACTTGGAAGGTCAACCAATGACCTAGGACCTTAAAATTGGGTAGCATCGGCTTTCTCTTGTCACGGGCAACACGCTCGTTGTTTCCGCGAAACCCTAGCTCGATCAGGGGCCAAACGCTCGAGGGTGGGGGGGGGGGGGGGGGCTCGTACCGACGGCCTTGTGCCGTCGAAGGACGCAAAATGGCCTGTGCCGGCGAGGGCCGAGGGTTAAGACATTGGACGAGACTCAATCTGACTCCTGAGGGTCAAAGGTGATTGCCAGGGAGTACTGCGCCTCCTGCAAGTCTCGACTTCGAGAACCGGTCATCCGCGCCAGAGAAGCGCTGCATATTATGAGCTCATTTGCATGAGGTGAACTTGAGGACATGTCTAGCACTGCGTCGGGCCCCAGGTTCACTGAACGTAGCGGGGGCCTCATACGCTATCCGGTCAGTCCGGTCAAAAGCAGGCTGATGAAGGAGGCAGCAGCCCCCGAAAGCTACCGATCATATACATTTTACTGGTGTCGAATAATTCGTTTCTGAATATCCGGTCAGTGAATACTAGAAATGTCAATCGGATATCAATTTTTTTTTTGGTATACCGATACCAAACCGACATCGACTTGGCATTTAGTATTTCAATCCTAATGGGTTTGGTATTTTGTTATCATGGATCCCAGGATCCTCGCCAATATATAAAGGGCTGTAAATTTGGTATGAAATTGGCATTTCCATCATATTTCCTAGTTGGTTCGGTTTCGGTATTTTCCTACGGTTTTGGTCGTTATTTGGCTTGGTATCGGTATTAAGATTTTCTGTAACTGATATCACTAGTGAATACCAATGCCATCTGAGTGAAAACTAATCCATAATTCTAGGGTCAACCATAATTTTCGTTCTGCCCAAAGTTTTCAATCACATGACTAGCTGGGCTTGCATCACTGTCTTTTCGAGTTTTCGTGACCGATTTGTATCTATATTCAAACGGTATTGCGCATGAACTGATCGCAAAGGAGCATCAAGGAAAAACAAGTTTACTGTTTGTAGCAAAACCCACCTTGTGCGGCTCCAGCGAATGCAGAATCGTTTTTTATGTGGCTGGCATCGAACTCTGACGGCTTAGGCGCGGAAATCGGGGGGGGGGGGAGCAGTGGGGCAGCTTGCCCCCCCCCCAACTCTGGGGCCGTGGTGGAGGTGCCCCCACAACTTTGAGACGGAGTACCGTACTTTTTTGCCAGTCTTCTCTTTTTTTTGCCTGAAAACCCCAAGGAACGAAAAATAAATGGCCTAAAACCGATGAGAAAACTAGATTCGAGGGTACCCTAGGTTTATCTCTATTATGGTGTGCCCCCCCCCAGCCTGAAAGTAGCTCCGCGCCCCTGTCTGACTGAGATGGCTCCAGTCTTGATTACGTGTGCCTCCTGAACCGCTCTGGTCTGTGCTCGATTAAGTCCCGTTTTCTACAGGCCGATCTTTCGTTTCTACTCAATGTGCATCGCAGTAGGATCGACTGCTCTTACCTGATGACATTTTTTTCTGGCCTATAATAGCAGTCCCCAGCAGACGCTCTCGAGTCTCTCGAAAGACAGGGCTGTTGCATGTACCGTAAACGTCGGCGCTCCGCGCCGCCGTTTTTAGCACACCTGTTCAATGTTCAGCTAGACGATACGGATCGACTAGTATGCAACATGACCTTTTCCGGTTAGGTCATGACCTTGACCTGAGGTCAAATTTTCAGGATGACCCTT